CCTAAGTATTTGTACAGTAATCTGCGTTTTGAAAATGATATATCACGTCTTGCTAGGTGTGCTCTTAGCACATGTAAGTTAAAGTAAGTTAAAATACGTTTAAATAAGTTAAACTAAGATAAACTACAGATAACTAGGTGTCAAGTATGGGTTGATACACGTGATATTTATAACCCATGATGACATCAGTCTGACCATTTGTTGTCTGAACTTTGCAGACACAACATGAGTGATAGAAGAGTAAACATGATTCGGTTATGTGCTGTTGTCAACAAAGAGCTGCTATGTTATGCCCAGTGTCTTATGCAATTTGACGAGGACGAAGAGAGGCAGAGAAAACAGAGAAGATGGTGGGCTCGTGACTGGCTTCTGCGCAGATCAATCCATGGTCAGTATGACGCCCTGATGGAAGAATTACTTGAGGATCTTGAAGCTTTCCTGAACTTTCTGCGCTTGGAAATGGCCACATTCCATGAACTGTTAGCAAGGGTAGAGGACCGTCTCACCAAGAATAGGACCCGATGGCGTGATCCTGTGTCTCCTGGACTCAAGCTGACTGTGACATTAAGGTTCTTGGCTACTGGAGACTCATACCACTCACTGATGTATAATTTAAGACTTGCTCACAATACCATCTCAGGGATTATTGTTTCCGTGCTTAAGGCTTTTTTGGATGTCATGGAAGCCGAGGTTATGAAGACTCCTATCGAACCCTTAAATGGGTTACAAGTGGCAGAGCGATTTCAAGGAAGATGGCAATTTCCACCTGTCTTGGGTGCTTTTGATGGTAAGCATATCGCCATAAAAGAAAAATCGAATTCAGGCTCTTCCTATTATAACTACAAGGGGTTCTGATCCATTGTATTAATGGGCTTGGTTGATGCAGACTACAAATTCCGATGGATTCAGGTTGGTGATGTTGGGTCCAGCTCCGATAGCCAAATATGGAACCACTGTGCCCTCCACCAATCAATACAACAGGGACTCTTGGGTATACCAGATGCAGAGCCTTTACCATTTGGTGCTGTTGATATACCTTATTACATCATTGCAGATGATGCCTTTGCCATGCAGAGTTGGCTCATGAAACCATTCTCCCCCCGAGGACTGGCACACGATGAGCTAGTATTCAACTGCCGCCTTTCAAGAGCTCGCTGTGTGGTTGAGAATACCTTTGGGATACTCGCAAACAGATTCAGGTGTCTGCTTAGCACTCTCCAGGTTCAGGCAGATACTGCATCTTTGATAGTGAGAACGTATGGGGTGATGCGCAACTACCTGAGAGAAAGGAACCCCTCCAATGATGTCATGATCCTGGACAAGGAAGATGCGAACCACAACTTGGTACCTGGTGCCTGGCGGGACACAGCCAACTTGAAGGACATGAATCACACTTATTGGGGTAACCATGACACAGTAGCAGCCAAGAAGCAGCGGATTTACCTGAAACATTACCTTTGCTCACCCGCAGGGTCGGTTCCATGGCAGGATACACATCTTCGCCAATACTGAATCGTTGTTGAACGTCCATTTTAAGGGCAAGGTGAAGAACCATGTTTTACTCTTCTCAGTTTATCCCCCTGTGCCAGCTTTCATTTAAATATCAGACCTGTGCATTTGTATGTGTTTGTGTCCTTGTAGTTTTGTTATATTCAAGACTAAATAAGAACAAACAATAATGATGTTAGAAAAATATATAATTTACAAAGTAATTTCACACCTTTCTTTTCAAGATATGGTACTTGGAATTAATGATTTTGAAAGAAACTCTTATGTTAAATAAAGGCATATTATAACTTAACAAGACAAAGGTGATTTGGACAGACCAATTTCTTTGAAATTATATCTTTATCAGAATGTCACATTTGATTGTGCCTACTCATGAACCAAAGGAGCTGCATGTAGTCAAAATAAAACTTTATTAACTATATGGCGCGTTAAAGCTGCATTACTGTTTGGTTTCAGACTAAAATCATCATCTGAGTTTTCTTCATGAAATGAAACTATTTACCTCATTAAGTAGCAAAATTGTCCTGTTCGAGTTTTTGATCGAAACAAATAGTCATTTTTATTATGACCACACACCTTTTTTGCACGTGCTATAAGGTATCAACATTAAATCTCTGCAGCCAAGATGTAGAGTACGACCCAATAGTTCTGACGCTCCTTTTCACCCCTTAAATTTCGACAAAATGATCTCAGATTCTGCATGAATACAAATAAAGATGTCTCTATCAAAACATTTGAAAACCTTTAAATGGTAAAATTTGACCGATTAAATACAGTAACGCAGCTTCAACTATATATAAGCTTTACCTTTGAGTAAAATGAGGGTCTTCCAACATCTATTTTCAATTTAGATTATATCTATATTTGCAAATAGGACCTCATTTACATAATTTGTTTCAAATGGCCTTTTAATAGGAGCAAGCAGGTTGTTCTGGTTTGTTACCACAAAGCTCTTAGTTAATAATTTGTTTGTTTTAATATCATATCATATCAACATCACATTTGTATTTTTCTATTGCAGCTTTATGTTTAAAATACAAACAAACATACACAATAAAAATACAGGGAAGCATCAACAGTCTTTGATCCTCCAGGCAGTGGTGACAGTGGTTGCCAAACAGGAACAAAGGTCAATCTATTCCCCAAAACCTCCACTCTAGAATTGAAGGAAGTCCTGTAGAGAGTGTGCTGGAGGTGCACTTGAAGACCGCTCTGACTGTCCCTGCTGCGGCTGCTGCGGTTGATCAACATGCTACCAGGGTGGCATCCATCCCGTTGGGCACTGTTGCTGCTGTGAAACAGCAGTGTTTGGCTGCTGATGCTGCGCTTGCGTCTGAGATAGCAGATGTGGATGAGGTTGGGAAGGTTGTTGATGTACATGTGCCTTTGCTTGAGTCCTTGCTTGTGCCTGTACTTGCGCCAGCTGCCTCTTCCTGGACATTGCAACTCTGAGAGCTTTCTTGATCTGGGGGAGTGGCATTAACTTTATCAATATCCTGCAAGTCGTCATAGATCATAGAAGTTGGGGTTTGACCTCTCCTGTTTCGTGTTTTCTTCATAGCTAGAGGTTAGTTAAGCTTACCCTAACTGAGACCAAAATGACGAAAGGAATGAAATATGGATGTGTTTTGTCAGGAATTCAAAAGTGAAAGAATTATGAAAACCACATGTCTCTTTATATACCCAGACCGCCTCCGTGGTCTAATGGTAGAGCGTCCGCCCGGAGAGCGGAAGGTCCGGAGTTCGATCCCCAGCCGCGTCACACCGAAAAACGTTTAAAGATGGAACTTGTTGTTACCCTGTCTGGTGCTCGGCATTAAGGGGCTAAAACAAGGACTGGTCGGCTCAGAGTCAGTATACTGTGTCTGAGTGGGGTATTCATGTTAAACTGCGGCATGGTATCTCAGTGTGCTAGCACTATAAATCGGCATCAGTCCGGACTAGTACAAGCAGCCACACACACAAACATACACGTGCATGCACGTCGCTATATAAGTGCAATAATCTTGGACGCGACGTTAAACCCCATATCATCTCACCTTTATACCCTGTACTTTTTGTGCGAAATGGGCGTTTTTTACCTTAGTTTACCGTAATGTAATGCTTTTAAATGTAGTTCAGCGTACCTGAATGTACTAGCTACTGTACTTTACTGTAGTCTAAAGTAGCTTAACGTAGGAAAATGTAGATGTGTAGCACCCTTTTCGCACTTCAATGTTGTTTACTCTAGTTCAACGTACTTGTTGGTATGTTGACGGACATTTCCCTGGTAACATTTTGATATAGAAACGTTGTTCGACGAAGTCAAGCTTTTTTTAACATATTTCGACACATCAGTGTTATTTTGGCTACGTTAATATCTCTAAGGATAACTACAGCTACTGACGCAAGTGTGAATGTCTCTTAAAGGTGGACCGTTGTATGGTATTAAATTCATTCGTTTCAAGTTCTGACTTGTTTGAAGTATTATTCTGTTAAACTTAATTGATTTATTGATCGTGTAGGCGTCAGCCTATTCACACGCAACAGTATAATTATAAAAACGTTACAAATGGCCAGTAATAAATAATATACTAAACTCGCTCCCTTGTAAAACCAATTTTATGAAACGTGTGACCTAAACTTGGTATTACACTCGTTTCCTAAAATCGGTATTACACGGGAGCTCGTTTAGTATTTTATAGTAAGCAGGCAGAATCCTCACACCTTCCACTATCTTGTTCATTTCGAGGTTCATACCTCCCCATCTCTACACCCACACCTCCCAAATCTCTACACCCACACCTCCCAATATCTACACCCGCACCTCCTCATCTCTACACCCGCAGCTCCCCATCTCTACACACGCACCTACCCATCTCATACAAAATCGACTTCACGAAACATATTTTCTAACCCACGAGACCGTTGTCTAGTAACAATATAACTGCTCTTTGCAAAATGATTAGTCTCGATTGACGAGTTAAATTAGAAATGTTCATGGTGGTAAAGGGGAGGAATCTTAACAAAGAAACAACATGAAATATTACAAGCAAAACAATATATTATCTTCCTGAATATTTTGTGGGTGGTAAATGATTGTGAAACAGACCATTAATATAATATACATCATGTTCATAATAAAGTGTTTAGACACAAATGCATGGAAATGAGTCCTGTTCTTCACGTGACAGTGGTGTATATCCGTCGCCTGGCTAGGAGGTAAGTATTACTTTCAATAGGATGTAAAATGTGATTAGGAAAGAAATGTGCTAGTTGTGTAACAGAACATAGATCGCCAGACCCTCTGGCACAAGTGTGGAACGGACGATTATTGGGCTATTTTTTTCCACTAGACTCAACGCAATATGACATGATCAGTGCCCATCCTGTTTTATTTTCAACTTCCTGGTGATTGTTGACGATTGTATGTCTGTGACCAGAGTCTTGAATCCAACATGTGCATGGAATTATTTCCTTTCCTTGCACGTGTCAGTGTTGATTTTCATCTTCCTGATAAGGAGGACAGTAACACCAACAGAAGCCTTTGATCCATTGAAACGGTGTTTCCTGTGTAGCACATTAGTCACCAGCCCCCTCAGACACATGTGATGCACATGACTATTGGCCTGCATGTTGTATCAACAGGGACTGTCCGTATAGAAGGCTGGGCTGTAAGTACATGCTGTATTGTAAGTATAGAAGGCTGTGCAGAAAGTATATGCTGTACTGTAAGTATATGCTGGAACTGTAAGTATATGCTGTACTATAAGTATATGATGTGATGTAAGTATATGCTGTACTGTAAGTATATGCTGTATTGTAGGTGTTTGATGTATTGTAGGTGTTTGATGTATTGTAAGTATATGATGATAATGTAAGTATATGCTGTACTGTAAGTATATGTTGGAACTGTAAGTATATGCTGTGATGTAAGTTTATGCTGTACTGTAAGTATATGCTGGAACTGTAAGTATATGATGTGCTGTAAGTATATGGTGTACTGTAAGTATATGCTGTACTGTAAGTATATGGTGTACTGTAAGTGTTTGATGTACTGTAAGTATATGATGGTACTGTAAGTATATGATTACTGTAAGTATATGATCTACTGTAAGTATATGCTGTACTGTAAGTATATGTTGTACTGTAAATATATGTTGGAACTGTAAATATATGATGTGCTATAAGAATAGGCTGTACTGTAAGTATATGATGTACTGTAAGTATATGCTGCACCGTGAGTATAGGCTTGTAATGTAAGTATATGCTGTACTGTAAGTATATGATGTATTGTAGGTATATGCTGGTACTGTAAGTATATGATGTACTGTAAGTATATGCTGGTACTGTAAGCATATGCTGCACTGTAAGTACAGGCTGTACTGTTAGTATATGCTGTACTTTAAGTATATGCGGTACTGTAAGTATATGTTTGTACTGTAAGTATATGATTGTACTGTAAGTATGTGTTGTACTGTAAGTATAGGCTCTCCTGTAAGTATATGTTGCACTGTTCGCATAGGCTGTACTGTAAGTATATCCTGGTACTGTAAGTATAGGTTGTACTGTAAGTATAGGCTGTCCTGTAAGTATAGGCTGTGCTGTAAGTATATGCGGTATTGTAAGTATACTTTGTACTGTAAGCATATGCTGTACTGTAAGTATATGCTGTACTGTAAGTATAGGCTGTCCTGTAAGTATATGTTGCACTGTACGCATAGGCTGTACTGTAAATTTATGATGTACTGTAAGTATAGGCTGTACTGCAAGTATATGATGTACTGTAAGTATAGGTGGTACTGTAAGTATAATTTGTACTGTAAGTTTATGTTGTACTGTAAGTATAGGCTGTGATGTAAGCATGTGCTGTGTTGTTAGTATATGCTGTACTGTAAGTATATGTTGTACTAAGTATACGTTGTACTGTAAATATATGCTGCACTGTGAGTATAGGCTGTACTGTAAGTATATGTTGTACTGTAAGTATATGCTGTACTGCAAGTAAATGATGTACTATGATTATAGGCTGGTAATGTACGCATTTGATGTACTCTAAGTGTAGGCTGTAATGTAAGTATAATCTGTACTGTAAATATATGATGCACTGTGAGTATAGGTTGTACTGTAGGTATATGTTGCACTGTGAGTATAGGCTGTACTGTAAGTATATGCTGTGCTAGAAGTATATGTTGTACTGTAAGTATGTCTGTGTTACATGTATTGTGAAATGAGGTTTAATGCAGACCTTGTGTTATCCCCTTTTTGCCATGGGAAACAGCAGGTACCATCTTTCAACTACTAGTGTTACTAAACAATGTGATACTGATGAGTATTGATAAGGCACTCGGCTCCTTGCAATGGCCAGCCTGTGTATATTCTCAGACTAGTGCGTACACAAAGTGCCACCCTCTTCTGGCCTAACTCTGCAACTCTTTGGTGTCTGCATACCCATTTATCGTTTACGTTTCGGCATCAAACACGTGTTGTTTCGTTGTGTATGTTTAAGGTAATGTTGATGACGTCATTGTTCTTTCACACCAGTTTCAGTCACCATAATGGTCGCCTCGCTCTTGATGTGGATAGGATCATTGGTAATTGCTGCTGAAGGTAAAACATTGTATTGTTAACTTTGCATATCCAGTCTTTATTATTGGTACTACCCTTACATCAGTATATGATATTATTGAAGACAGGCTTGTCTTACGAGATGAGGTGAAATTGTGTTTATCGTGGTGTTCAAGACTATTTAATTTAAATAGCAAAGTGTATACATGTGTATGCACTAGCCCGGACTTCGTTTTGTAATTCAAGTTCACTGAGATACCATGCCACAATATCACATCGATACCCCACTCCGACACTGCATACCGAATACAAGCTGACCAGTTCTTGATTTATCGACTTAATGCCGAGAGGAATGTAACAACATGTGCCCCTTTATGTATTTTGGAATGACGCGGTCAGGCAATTGCATGAACGACCTTCAGCTGACGTTTTGTGAATGTCAAATATTATTTCAACCTAACATATCACCTACGTAATAAAGTTACTATATTCCGTTTGCTGCGAAATCGTACACATGAAATGCAATAGAGATTTAAATCAGAAAACGTCAATTCGTCCTAAATGGCATGAACGTTGTTTATTTCTACTTTCCAACTCGTCAACATAGTTTCAGACATTGTCATGAAATAGAGAAGATATTGTGCAGCAAACCATCAGGTAACTGTTGGTGTTTCTAAGCCTGTTATTACAAGGTTTCTGCGCAATGAACGTAACAGCTGAAGGGCATCGCGGAACACAGTTGTAATCTCAAAACTTCTATAATCCCTCTCTTTTATAATATTAATCTGTAATTCCTGTCTCAACATTGTCAGTGCACAACCTCCGACTTGCAGGGAGTTGGGGGTAGTCCCGTCCGGGATTTGAACCCACACTGCCAGAGTGAGGCACCTAATCGCCTGCACACAAAGTCAGCGATCTAACCCACTCGGCAACCGAGGCTTTTGTCGGACTTTCATTTTTGTGGAGGGCTCGGTGGCTGAGTGGGTGCAGACCCCTTTGTGACAACAGGCATTATAATACACCAACAGTTACATGAGAGTTTGTTTAACTACTTGTTCACTACTTCATGATATATAATTCGATATCTAAGTTTTCATTCACTAGTTTACACTCACTAAACTATCAATATTAACATGTTGGTTGTAAAGTATAGTATAACTTCAAATATATAGCCATTTGTAAATAATAATTACATTTCCATATTTATTATATATATTTTCTCAAAATCAAAGTCAGCAGAATAGTATTGCTAATGAATAATCAGTCCCATATTAAACTTACGTCTACTTACCGCAGTTACGCATGTTTTAATCCTGTATAACAACATTCTTATTATCCATAACATCGTGTTCAAAAATACATTGATGAATACCTACATCTTAACTTTCAGCTGGTCAATGTAAGGATAACCAACACTGTTCAGACTGTGCCAACACGACGGGACACTGCCTCACTGTGTGTGACTCTGGGTATTTTGATCTGAAATGTTTGTCAGTTTGTGACGGATATTGTAAATATAACCTGTGTAGTCAGTCAGACGACGGTGGTGGACGTTGTACCGAGGGATGTATCCCAGGATATCAAGGCAGGAGGTGTAACATACCATGTGACAGTCCAGGAAGTAACTGTACAGCATGCCCAGGTGGTTGTGATGGAGGATATTGTCAGCTGGGCTCCTCCTGTGTGTCTGGATGTGTAGACTCCTACTTCGGGACAGATTGTGAACCTGGTAGGTATTGACTAGGTCAGTATTATTACTCTCCTCAAGTCTATAGTGTATACACCCGAGGGAGCTGCAAATAACTTCTGAGACCCCACTGATCCATTAGCGGGCGTAATAATGGGACTCCCCGCACCTACCCTGACGCACGCACGCAAGCACGCCACCTTTGTCACATGCAGACAAATCATATACCGTCATTACTATCAGTACAACAAAAGTTCCGGTGACATTGAATAAGATTTAATGCAAAGTTATGTTGTTTTATTAAATCTGAAACAATTTCGGTTTGCAACAGATTAAAGACCCCTGTAAGTGTTCAAATGGTTTAATTTGCCATACTGACTTCAGAAAATGCGGGATTTCATAAACCAAAACATGAACTTGCCAAAATGTCAATTTACAAACCAATAGCGTGTGTGTCCATCTCTGGTTGCGATACAAGCAACACATCTTCGTCTCATGGACTGCACCAGGCGTCGCACAAAGTCATGTGGGATATCTGCCCATATCTGCTGGAGCATGTTTCGACGTTCCTGGAGTGTCTGTGGAACACGTGGTTGACATCGAAGGTGTCGATCCATCTCATCCCACATGTGCTCAATTGGTGAGAGATCAGGGAGCGAGCCGGCTAGGGGATGACATTCACGTTGTTTTGTTGAATCCTGAACAAGTCGAGCAATATGAGGCCGGGCGTTGTCAAGTTGAAAGGTAATGCCTGGGCAATGACGACTCAAAAACGGTAGAAGAACAGGGCCGATGATCTCGCCGCAGTAGTGCTGTCCATTGAGATTTCCCTCTACCACCAACAAACGGGTCCTATGTCTTGCTATAACCCCACCCCATACCATAACGCTGCCGCCCCCGAACCAATCTTCTTCCATAACACAATGATTGACGTAACGTTCACCTCGACGTCGGTACACTCGAATCCATCATGAGGTGAAAACGAGACTCGTCAGTGAATATAACGTGTCCCCACTGCATGGCCGTCAAGCGTAGACGTTGTCTGCACCACTGTAGACGTAGTTGACGGTGGTTTCCTGTCACAATGGGACGTCTAGCGAACATTCTGGCGACAATCATTGCACATCTGAGGCGGCGACGTACGGTTTGTGAAGATATTCGTCGAAGGCCAGGGATGCTTCTTGCAGTCATCGTGCTGGCTTGAATCGATTTCGTAGGTGTGTTGTTCGAATCCAGTTGTCTTGTCGATTATTGGTTACGCGTGGCCTGCGATCCTGCTTCAAGCATACCAATGTCTCGCAGACGCTAATTTTCGGATAGGCGTGGCATTTCGTAATGTTGCGTAATTTATTTTTTTTTCTGAGTGGTTGTTGTCAGCACCATGGTAAGCAATGCATATGGAATCCCGTTCACGCACATGTTTTAATATCCATTCTTGGGTAGTGAAATGCATTGGGCTTGCATAAAAGTCAAATTTTGCATGGAATGCATGCTTTTTTGTAGCACTTGCGTTTGTGTGACTTGATTCCATACATGCACTACAATATTGAAAACCAAACTTTACTTGTTTGCAAAATACACTAAAATATTGGTGCCACAGGCACTTATGTTGTTTAATACAATATACACGTTAATAACTCTGTATGTGCAGCTGTCTCTAGATGTATGTTGATGATATGAACTACGTTATCCCTCTACGTTACCGTTATCATGTGTCAGGTGGTACAGTGGGACTAGCTGTAGGACTGTCCACAACAGCTGTCAGTTTCATCGTGTTGATCTTCCTGGCAGTGTGCTGCAAGTGTAGTAAACACTTGAGGCGAATTAGGTGAGTGAGAGAGACATAATATTCCCAGATTTGGGGTCACAATTTGACCTCATACCATTATGGACGCAAGAGCTGATGGAGATCAATGAGGTAGTCAGTCAGGGTGACGTGGATGACTGTCTCATCATGCCCCCACGTCGTGAGATGTTGGTCATATCATAAGCCGAATGGTTCCAAGGCCCATGTTCTAGTAGTACAGGCTGCTGTGATTGAGGCAGCTGAAACATAGCAGTCAAATGTACGCCTTGGCGATTGTTGTTGTCATCATTGAACTGTTCTATAAAATAAAGTAATTTTGTAAAACTACCAAAAAAATAGTAGGGGCATATTACTGGTTATTTTAAGCCTTCAGTAGTAACGCTAATATATAAATTTAATAAAGGGGACACGTGATGAAATATTTGAATGATTGGATGAAGTTGCATGTGAATTATTAGGCATCCTCTACCATGCAACGCATTATCGCCATTCTATTATAATACATAAACTTTAGCTATGACGTACCAAACTGTTCTGTTAGTAAATAAATGAAATTAACTCAACAAGAGTTAGTTGGACATAGCTCTATATTGAAATTAATAGAATAATTCGAACAATGACATTGTTATACACAAAGCCAGGAGGACGGATGCAATTAAGCTACAAGGCGACCCCAGTTGTGATAGTACACAACAATCCGAGCAGTGCATTGTGATAAGGAAGCTTGTTCCAATCCTGAAATGTTTAGTGCACTTTGATTGGAAGGTTCCTTTTAGTGATAATTGAAGTGATATGTCGTTGTGTAGCTGTACACTCTGAGAAACGAGTATTCAACAATTGTGTTTGTAAAACCTTGAATTTGTTGCAAATATTGTAACAAATATTGTTGCAAATATTGCTGCAAATAGTGTTGCAAATATTGTTGCACAGTTTTTTTGCTTAAATGTGGATCCACAATTTATGACATCAATTTTATTTTTTATTTCACAGTGTCACCCAGGAAGAGCATGTTGTGCGCGATTCTGTTGCCGAGATGGGCGATGCCCCTGTCTATGAACTAGAAGGGCATACTGACATCCAACAGACAGAGGACGTTGTGCGCGACTCTGGTGCCGAGACGGGCGATGCCCCTGTCTATGAACTAGAATGGTATACTGACATCCCACTGAAAGACATGGCCATGGATCGTGAGTCACCTGATGGGAACTGTGGAGGTGGAGGCGAAGCTGGTGGTGTGGAGGATGATGTGTATGACGTTGCAGATGGAGGCAAACGGGATCGTGCTGGTGTTATCGGCAATATCTATTCCAAAATATCCCATGCTTAGAAATCAAGTATTTCTTAAATATTGTTTGTTGACTGTTTGTTCATTGCATAGTTCTTAGGTTGATCTGCCACCTATGAGGTCAAATCGATCGAGCATCTGTCCGGAGAGCAGAAGGTTGGTGGTCAGTCCCCTTGCCGTGTCATTCGTGTCATACGTGTCATACGTGTCATACGTGTCATAAAGGTCATACATGGCATACGTGTCTTACGTGTCTTACGTGCCTTACGTGTCATACGTGTCATACGTGTCATACGTGGCATACGTATAATACGTGTCATACGTGTCTTACGTGTCATACGTGTTATACGTGTCATAGTGTCAAACGTGTCAAACGTGTCATACGTTACATTCGTGTCATACGTGTTATACGTGTCATACGTGTCATACGTGTCATTCGTTTAATACGTGACATACGTGTCATACGTGTCATTCGTGTCATACGTGTCATTCGTGTCATACGTGTCAAGAGACGTAAACACATGGTTCATGTTGTGTCCCTGCCTTGTCATCGGCGTTAAGACAGGGCTCGGAGTTAGGTTATTGTGCTTCAGTGAGGTACGCGTGTTAAACTGTGGCTTGATATATCTGTGGTCAACTGTCGTGAGCGAGCCAATACACCCAGCTCACCTCACTTTAGATTGATCAGATTGCATATAGGAAGATATGCTATGATGTTTGGAAATATTGTAATATTTGTAAATATTAAAATGCATGAATATCCAGCATTTTCGTTGCCCGTTTCTTATAAATATTGAGTACTTCAACAGTGGACGTGTTGATTGAGACCGATTTGATAAAATAAATATTTTAATTCAAATGTAGTGTTCAATATGCCATTTTGTGTTTAGAATAGATCGGATGGTCACGCCCTGTGACTGATTGCTGATTGTCATCTTGTCATCTTGACTGAAATACCTTGATCCTTGCTCGTGATTTCCGTAAATAGCGTAAATACCAGGGTAGCTACAATATGGGGTACCTGCAGCGTTAAACTGTCACAGATGTTTATATCAGGTCCAGATTTGAGGCGATCCTGTACTTATCGCAGACAGAACAATTATCACTATAGTACATTGACACATATGGCCTGAGGCGATGCTATACTTACAGCAGTCCGAACACTCATCACTACAGTACATTTACACATATGGCTTGAGGCGATCCTGTGCTTACGGAAGTCAGAACAATCACCACTACAGTGATTTGACACATGTAGATTGAGACGAGTCAGTACTTACCGCAGACAGAACAATCATCACTACAGTACATTGACACATATGACTTGAGGCGATCCTGTACGTACGGCAGTCAGAACAATCACCTCTACAGTACATTGACACGTGTGGCTTGAGGCGATGCTGTTCTCACGGCAGTCAAAACAATCAACTCTACAGTACATTGACACATATGGCTTGAGGCGATCCTGTACGTACGGCAGTCAAAACAATCACCACTACAGTACATTGACACATGTGGCTTGAGGCGATGCTGTTCTCACGGCAGTCAAAACAATCAACTCTACAGTACATTGACACATATGGCTTGAGGCGATCCTGTACGTACGGCAGTCAAAACAATCACCACTACAGTACATTGACACGTGTGGCTTGAGGCGATCCTGTACGTACGGCAGTCAGAACAATCACCACTACAGTACATTGACACGTGTGGCTTGAGGCGAGTCAGTACTTACCGCAGACAAAACAATCACCACTACAGTACATTGACACATGTGGCTTGAGGCGATGCTGTTCTCACGGCAGTTAAAACAATCAACTCTACAGTACAGTGACACATATGGCTTGAGGCGATCCTGTACGTACGGCAGTCAAAACAATCACCACTACAGTACATTGAGACATGTGGCTTGAGGCGATCCTGTACGTACGGCAGTCAGAACAATCACCACCACAGTGATTTGACACATGTGGATTGAGGCGAGTCAGTACTTACCGCAGTCAGAACAATCACCACTACAGTACATTGACACATGTGGATTGAGGCGAGTCAGTACTTACCGCAGACAGAACAATCTCACTACAGTACAGTGACACATGTGGCCTGAGGCGATGCTGTACTTACGGCAGTCAGAACAATCATCACTACAGTACATTGACACATGTGGCTTGAGGCGATGCTATACTTACAGCAGACAGAACAGGGATGAAGCCATGCTATAAGCCTTTCCCTTCAACTAACTTAATACAAATGACAAAATATGACATTTCACACTTTCTCAATCATATCTTCTGAGGAGTAGCCGGGAGCAACACTTCTTGTGTTAAGTAAGTTTATCCCTTTTTTGTCGGCAGAGCGTTATGCTCCTGCTAATTGCGTTGTTGAACTGATCCTTCATTGAACAAACATCATTCAGATTGAGCAGGACGTTGAATTAATTGTGTGATAAACAACCGATCCCCTTAGTAACGTCTCACAACGAGCACAGCTTATTGGCTGATCACGTCATGATGTTGAATTTATTGTGTGATAAACAACCGATCCCCTTAGTAACGTCTCACAACGAGCACAGCTTATTGGCTGATCACGTCATGATGTTGAATTTATTGTGTGATAAACAACAGATCCCCTAAGTCACGTCTCACAAGGAGCACAGCTGATTGGGAGATCACGTCATGATGTTGAATTTATTGTGTGATAAACAACCGATCCCCTAAGTCACGTCTCACAACGAGCACAGCTTATTGGGAGATCACGTCTTATCAGGAATCATTGCATAGTCGGGGCGCATTGGGGTTGGGTGGTCGGGTTAACTGTTTGATACATGTTTACATCATACGCACATCTCGTCAGGATTACTGCCTTGGTGATCAGCGGTAGAGCGGGGAAAACGTATCAAGAAAAACACACAACTATTCCAGGAAGTATAATTGTACAGTGTATAAACCCATGGTTCAATGTATTCAAATCGTTCGATATTGGTTTACTTCTACCAGTATCGTCAAGTCCTTAGTTCCGCAGTGTCTAACAACTTCCTCCTGTACATGTGGTGTACCTTTCACATCTACAGTCAAGTTGATACGCTCAGTTGTAGGGAGAAATGAGGCGGTCGGGTGTCCTAGTGGTTAAAAGCGTTCGCTCGTCACGCCAAAGACCCGGGTTCGATTCCCGACATGGGTACAATGTGTGAAGCCAATTTCTGGTGTCCCCATCGTGGTATTGCTAGAATATTGCTAAAAGCGGCGTAAAAGCATACTCACTCACTCACTCACTGTAAGGAGAAGTTAAGGGTAGCCCTGTATTATATGGCATAAAATTCAATGCAGATGTGTAGCTCTCGGGAGTGCCATATCCCTTTGCCTCCCCGGGTCATACCATGAACCTATTTTTGTTTCTTCCAATCCCACATGTTCCTCAAGGATAATGTTTCTCAGTTTGTCAGGGTTGCACTTGGGTCGTAGACGTCTAAAACCCGCTTCACCTCTGTCTCTAACACCTTTAACTAAAGAAACATACACCAGTGAGTTAGCAGGGTGGCACTGGGGTCGTAAACGTCTAACAAACCCATCACTTCAGGCTCTACAACCCTTAACACCAGTGAGTTAGCGTGTTTTAGCTTCATGCAATAATAAACGGTATTTCAGTAACGTGAAAGGCTATGTGGGCGTGTCTTAGACGTTTACTTCAGTGGAACGCTGACAAACCTGGAGCGAGAATCGGGGACACATGTTTATGAGATAGAATCAATCGTACAAGGTACACTGGATTTATGAGAGCTGTCTGTGGTTATGGAAATGATTTTTGTATTACTGAAATACTGATTAAGCCAGTATGAAACAGACGCTGATCCACTCACTGGTGGACCTGGTTTAGGGGTTTCAGGTCGGGGACCAGCGGGATGAAGTTGAAAGATGGTATGTCCTGTTCCAACGTTTAATTTGAAAACTTTGTCACAACCTTGCACCTTTTTGTGTCTATCTGATATATGATATTTTACATAAACAAAAAAAATGAACTGAAAGGTTGTGTAAAAGTAATTATGAAACAGGTTATTAATATAATGATCAATGTTATGTTATACGTATTCATGGGGTAATATTTCCTTATTTGTTGGTGACATTGTTAATTTTTAGGGGGAAATAAAGCCGTCAACGGGAGACATGCATCTCTGTGGTTGTGAAACAAGGATGCTATATGTGCAACACATCCATCAACAGCCACCTGACGCCTGTGTGACACAGAACATCATTTGATCATATACAGCTGGTCTGCATAGTCTACCAACGGGACACATATGTATATCAGGCGAACTTTGATGTGAGTACATGGTTTGGTTATATATGAGGTGTAAAGGGGTTTTCATGTCGCACTAGAGGTGACTGAACGTGTAAGCTACGAGCATGCAGATGTGTGTGTGTGTGTGTGTGTGTGTGTGTGTGTGCGTGTATGTGTGTGTGTGTGTGTGTGTGTGTGTACGTGTGTGTGTGTACGTGTGTGTGTGTACGTGTGTGTGTGTGTGTACGTGTGTGTGTGTACGTGTGTGTGTGTACGTGTGTGTGTGCGTGTGTGTGTTACTTCTGACTGATGCCAGGCACATAATACAGCATTGATCTCCTAACAACGTGGATCTTCTGTATATTCCAAGAAAGGGGAGTGTACACATGTACAACACTCTGCTGGACAAACTCTGCAACGCTTGTTTTCTGTACAGCCATTGCACGTCCATGTTCTAAGTCCTTGCATCAGCAAGTGTTGCTTCACCCTGTATATTAATGGGCAATGTTTGTTTTGTCACTTACGTCTTCTTTAGCAGTTCAGGTCAACGGGATGGTCGTCTCGCTGCTGTTGTGGATGGCATGCGTGGTAATTGCTACTGAAGGTAAAACCTTGTGTTCATAATAGTGTTCATCTACTCTTTTTATTTGATAGTATGCATACGTTAGTATACATAAGTGGTATTCAGATATTGTAATATTAATGAAGACTGGATTTTCTTAGGAGATGGGGTGAAACATTATTTCACTTGTTTAGCAGCATGTTTGAGCATGGCTGACTTACTGGTCCAGATGTGTTCCAGTTCTATAACCATGCTCCAGTTTAACATTAATGAGTGAGTGAGTGAGTATGGTTACACGCAGCTTTTTGCAATATTCCAGCAATATCACTGCCGGTGACACCAGAAATGGGCTTCACGCATTGTACCCATGTTGGGAATGGAACTCGGTTCTTCGGCGTGACTAGCGAACGCGTTAACCACTAAGCTACCCGACCGATAAGGCTATGTACCGTATTTTAATATAGTTTGGTATGGCGTTGCCTGGGACCGAATCACCGACCTTGCGTTCTCCGGGCCCACAACACAGAGTTTGTGATAGTCGTATGAATGTCAAATGCATTTGTTTTGTTTTTTCATTGTGATGTGTCACTCGCTTGAGTTTCAAATTTCTCGACTGCATGCAATCATTTTTACTCACTACTGAACAACCATTTGTTTGTTTGTGGTTTAACGCAGCACTAAGCAATATTCCAATCTGGACCGGACAATGCAGTGATTGCCATTATTGGCATCGAGCTGGGCAACAGAGATATGATGCCATGCATCAACCAAATCAGTGAACCTGACTATACGATCATATTAACCGGCACTCACTGAACTATTGATATGAACACAGATGTGCTAAGGTGTAGCTGGTCTTGTTTCAATTATCTAGGTTAAGTCAGTTCTGCATATTTATCTAAGACATCGATATATTTTGGTATAGGAATAATCATCCTTGTAAGTTGCTTACCGTAGTCTTAATAAACATCATACTCAGTATCCACTAAATCCTATTCTCGAAAATGTTACGAAATACCTATATCTTAACTTTCAGCTGGCCAATGTAAGGATAACCAACACTGTTCAGACTGTGCCAACACGACGGGACACTGCCTCACTGTGTGTGACTCTGGGTATTTTGATCTGAAATGTTTGTCTGTTTGTGACGGGTATTGTAAATATAACCTGTGTAGTCAGTCAGACGACGGTGGTGGACGTTGTACCGAGGGATGTATCCCAGGATATCAAGGCAGGAGGTGCAACATACCATGTGACAGTCCAGGAAGTAACTGTACAGCATGTTCAGGTGGTTGTGATGGAGGATATTGTCAGCTGGGCTCCTTCTGTGTGTCTGGATGTGTAGACTCCAACTACGGGACCGACTGTGAATCTGGTAGGTGGCTGACATATAACAAGGTCAATACTAATACTATCCCCAAGTCTATATTGTATATTCCCCCCGAGGTTTTTTTTAATTGCGTGTGATTGCAGGGGTCATATTCGTGTACAGTGGTAATGTCGGACAGTCGGCAGGAGCTGCCACTTGCATCGTAACGATCTTCCTGGTTGGGCCAAGTTGTTCAAGAAGCCCCTGCTACTGCATTTACAAATTAACTTTGTTCTTTGTTAGGTGATAACGTGGAACTGACGATATCACTATCTACAGGGCTAGCTACAGCATCGGCGGTTTTCATTGTGATGGTTGTCGTGGCTTGGTGCTGCAGTTATTGTCAAAGCTTGATGAACGACAGGTGAGTGAGTGACACAGACATGATGTTGTAAAACTGAAATACTGAACTCACATGTGACGTTAATCTCTCATTCAAGTCAATGTAAGATCTTGATAGGTCACCAGCAAACCACACTTGACGTAAAAGGCGACTATGCTTGTCGTAAGAGGCAACTTACGGGATCGGGTGGTAGGTTCGTGACTTGGTTGATGCATGTGATCGTAGCCAAATTGCGTAGATACTTATGATGCTAATCATTGCCTGGATGGTCTGATCCAGACTCTATTTAGCCATATAGTTGGATATTGCGGAGCATGGCGTTAAAGAAACAACAGATGAAACATATCGGAAACAAACATCATATTCTCAGTCTCGTTTTCCGTCAGGAGACTTATATCTCCATTGTTTCCTCGTAACATGATTTATCTTCAGTGAAGAAATCTTGCATGCAATTACTTTTAAGATCACCTGAGTAAGCTAACCAATCAGTTCACCTTTCAGCTTTCAGCTTTACGTCACGCCTACCCACGACATGCATGCTCTAACAGGGGTCAGTGATGCTCCTCAATATGATGTTGTTGACGAAGTAAAGATGTACGATGCGCTCACTGGTGAGGGGCAAGCAGGCTGTGACATTCGTTCCGGGTATGTGGGGCTGAGGTCGGTGCAGCATGCCACCATATCACGTGATCTGGAAAATGCTGACTCAGCTGAACCGGGAACCTCATCAGTGACCTGTGGGCGTGTAGGTGCTACGTCGTGTGTTTAAAATCATGACGTTATAGAAGCAGAGGATGAAGATGTATCTGTTGTTGATTTACACCTACGCATCAAGCTTCACAGTGGCAACATACTGAGATGCTGCGAGCGGCCACCGTTCTAGTTATGTTCAAGTACTTTCAATAAAACCCAAATTTGTCAACCGAACGCAGGATGAAACTATCGCTGCATCACTTTGGATCATATTATTTTAGATTTTAGTCAAGGATCTAGAGGCCTTAAATGACTTGTGATTCAACGAGCGCGAACATCGTGCTGACAATACAAGGCCAATATCTGCATATGTTAGAAGCAAGGACGAGCCTTCTATAGCTGCGTGTAAAGCTGAAGAAAACTGGAACTGCTGTGTTCCGCGGTCTGTAGCAATACCCAAGTCACATGGTGCAGAGACATTGAACAATTCACTCATTGTGTCAATGTTACAAATAGTCCTAACCTGTTTCCGTCTGCTCTGCTTTACTCTATGCAACATAGATAATCTAGTTTCCCCTTTATATGCCTGAACAGAAGAATTGGGAATCCAAATACTGTCAACAGGTTATTTGTAATTGCATCTGCTATTGTTAAGACATTAAAGGACACGAATCAGCCCTGCAACGAGGTGACAAACAATAAACACATTCATGTTGTCACTTCCTGTTTTGTGGTGATATTAAACCAGTTGCATCTTCAATACTAGCCTATGCTAATAGATGACGACCTGAGAATGATTTCATGATTAAAAGAACGCCTGAACACCTTTTAGCTTACTGAAAGTTAATCAATTGACGTGACTGGACGGCCGTTTTTATGCATGACATGTATTGCCATATCATTGAGACACTATCATGAATACACTCTCAATTCAATGAGGATTTTAAGGATATGAGTGTCCTTAAATGACACATTGTGAATTGAAATAACCATTGTCCAAACGATATGAAAGTGTCCGGCGGCCGTGAAGGAAAAAATCTGATCTAGTCTATATGTACTTCTGGCAGGTTTCAAACAAGAGAAGAGCACACTTCTCAACGCCTGAAAAAAAAAAAGAAAAAAAAAAGACACATCAACATTCAATATATGATGCACTACATGATATCGTAAACTGCTTCCTTGTGTTTTAAACTGAAACTAGTGCGGGAGTGAGAGTGTTACACCGCGTGCAGTAATAACCAAGACACATCATATATAGGTGTTACACATTGAGCCAATATCATTGGTCATGCTTGGTTCTAGCATTACTCCACAACCAGTACCACGCTCCTTGATATGCATACCACTGGCCCACGTAACTTGGCTTATATATGGACGAGGGGTGGTCGGGTAACCTAGTGGTTAAAGCGTTCGCTCATCACACCGAAGACCCGGGTTCGATTTCCGACATGGATACAATGTGTGAAGCCCATTTATGGTGTCCCTTTCCGTGATATTGCTGGAATATTGCTAAAAGCGGCACTCACTCACTCACTCACTATCTCATTCACGCACATATGGATGGGCGAGTTTTGTTTCAATTAGAAGTGGGCAGCACTTCACTTATAGACGTCTACCGTGGTTTGGTGCTAACAAATCTAGAGCAAAATCAGACCAAATCTGGGATTCGAACCCACTATCATCGGTCTATGTCACGTGTATCTATTGAACATACAATATCAATATGTTGGCTGGTCTGCAATAATGTTTCACGCGATTCTCACTACATGCCAGATCGTATAGCTTAACCTTTGTGAAACTAGGTCATTGTTTTGAACAATCAGGAAATATTTCCTGAGATTAGATTCTGGCGCATAACGACTATCATCCTTGTGACACCAGCAAACCTGACAGGCAAATGAATTAAACGTAAAGGAAACTGGAACTGCTGTGTGAGAGAAACATCCATAATATTCGTAGATCGTATATAAATGACCAGGTGAAAGTGCTGAAATCACACGCTATGTATTCGGCTTCCAAAGCGCATCTGTCTTTTCACTGGTTAGGATGCCTACAAGGTGACCAGGTTTCGTGTTAAATCACGGGTCCACGTGGTAAAGTAGTATACAATTATTGCCACTCTGACAGTATATAATATCGACTAGTGTTTTAGATCTGTGATTATAGTTTGTTTTGTTTATGTATAATGGATAGAAGTCCATATTATCACTCCAAAGTGATGGCATATATCCTGCAGGGGAATCAAGCAGGAAGCAGTAGCAGGTAAGTCTCCATAATCCCCAGTAAGGTGGTATTGCTTTGAATGCTGGTAACTCTACTCTGGATATAATATGTTTAACACATATTTTCAACAATATTTGTTTTCATTTTGACCTGGTTTGTGTTACACCTAATCCTATAGTTCTCTTCTTGTCTCACACGTACGTAGGGTGTCATTCCAGATTTTGACCATTTCGTGGAAGGTCGATGACAACACGACAAAACGCAATGGTGTTTGTTTTAATACATAAATAAAGATGTCAGAATAGTACATGTATAATCATTTTGTTCAGTAACGACAGACAGGGTTGTTTTCTGTATTTTCTATTTGCAACAGATGCGGCATACGAATGCCAAAACCAAGAAGACACCATTCCACCAGGTGAAGACACCAGGTGGCCACAAGGGCCCCGAGGGAAATCTTGTATAACGTAGTCGACTTACACCCGCTTACATCGTGCCAGTGACTTCCTGGAAACAGAAAACATTTGCCATATAATTTCTGACCTTATACTCTTGGACATAATTGTTCCTAAGTTGTTCTTCAAAATAGCCTAATTGTGATATAATTGCATAACCAAGCATGTCAAAACAATTCATGTTATAACAGTTAAGCTAATATTTCATCTTCATACATTGGCGTTTCATTTATTTCTTATGTGACGTTCAATTACACTTTCTAAAATGCAAATGACCAAAACTGTTTTTTCCAATGCTAGCGTGAATCACCTCTCATGATATAAGGCCGTCTATGACTACTAAATTGGAAAAACATGTCACTTTAAGCAGTTCTGTCAGAATATGACCTCAGCACCTCCTTGTTGTTAGGGCCGCTTTATTTCGTACGTGACTCTATTGTTTACAAGCCTACAACGTCATAGACAAACCTGCGATCAACCAGCCAGTGCACAGAAGTCCTGCCGTGACACATACAGTGTAGTAGTATAAACATAAGTCCTGCCGTGACACATACAGTGTAGTAGTATACACAGAAGTCCTGCCGTGACACATACAGTGTAGTAGTATACACAGAAGTCCTGCCGTGACACATACAGTGTAGTAGTATACACAGAAGTCCTGCCGTGACACATACAGTATAGTAGTATATACAGAAGTCCTGCCGTGACACATACAGTGTAGTAGTATAAATAGAAGTCCTGCCGTGACACATACAGTGTAGTAGTATACACAGAAGTCCTGCCGTGACACATACAGTGTAGTAGTATACATAGAAGTCCTGCCGTGACACATACAGTATAGTAGTATATACAGAAGTCCTGCCGTGACACACACAGTGTAGTAGTATACACAGAAGTCCTGCCGTGACACATACAGTGTAGTAGTATACACAGAAGTCCTGCCGTGACACATACAATGTAGTAGTATACACAGAAGTCCTGCCGTGACACATACAGTGTAGTAGTATACACAGAAGTCCTGCCGTTACACATACAGTGTAGTAGTATACACAGAAGTCCTGCCGTGACACATACAGTGTAGTAGTATACACAGAAGTCCTGCCGTGACACATACAGTGTAGTAGTATACATAGAAGTCCTGCCGTGACACATACAGTGTAGTAGTATACACAAAAGTCCTGCCGTGACACATACAGTGTAGTAGTATACACAGAAGTCCTGCCGTGACACATACAGTGTAGTAGTATACACAGAAGTCCTGCCGTGACATATACAGTGGAGTAGTATACACAGAAGTCCTGCCGTGACACATACAGTGTAGTAGTATACATAGAAGTCCTGCCGTGACACATACAGTATAGTAGTATATACAGAAGTCCTGCCGTGACACACACAGTGTAGTAGTATACACAGAAGTCCTGCCGTGACACATACAGTGGAGTAGTATACACAGAAGTCCTGCCGTGACACATACAGTGTAGTAGTATACACAGAAGTCCTGCCGTGACACATACAGTGTAGTAGTATACACAGAAGTCCTGCCGTGACACATACAGTGTAGTAGTATACACAGAAGTCCTGCCGTGACACATACAGTGTAGTAGTATACACAGAAGTCCTGCCGTGACACATACAGTGTAGTAGTATACACAGAAGTCCTTCCTGCCGTGACATATACAGTGTAGTAGTATACACAGAAGCCCTTCCTGCCGTGACACATACAGTGTAGTAGTATACACAGAAGTCCTGCCGTGACACATACAGTGTAGTAGTATACACAGAAGTCCTGCCGTGACACATACAGTGTCGTAGTATACATAGAAGTCCTGCTGTGACACATACAGTGTAGTAGTATACATAGAAGTCCTGCCGTGACACATACAGTGTAGTAGTATACACAGAAGTCCTGCCGTGACACATACAGTGTAGCAGTATACACAGAAGTCCTGCCGTGACACATACAGTGTAGTAGTATACACAGAAGTCCTGCCGTGACACATACAGTGTAGTAGTATACACAGAAGTCCTGCCGTGACACATACAGTGTAGTAGTATACACAGAAGTCCTGCCGTGACACATACAGTGTAGTAGTATACACAGAAGTCCTGCCGTGACACATACAGTGTAGTAGTATACATAGAAGTCCTGCTGTGACACATACAGTGTAGTAGTATACACAGAAGTCCTGCCTGCCGTGACATATACAGTGTAGTAGTATACACATAAGTCCTGCTGTGACACATACAGTGTAGTAATATACATAGAAGTCCTGCGTGACACAAACAGTGTAGTAGTATACACAGAAGTCCTGCCGTGACACACACAGTGTAGTAGTATACACAGAAGTCCTGCTGTGACACATACAGTGTAGTAATATACATAGAAGTCCTGCGTGACACAAACAGTGTAGTAGTATACACAGAAGTCCTGCCGTGACACATACAGTGTAGTAGTATACACAGAAGTCCTGCCGTGACACATACAGTGTAGTAGTATACGTCCCTCATGCGAGGGCAACAGCATAACGCAGTGCACATCAGGATAGGGAAGATGATGAGGAGTGCACCTTGCACAATCAGATATACGTTTAGGATGTAACTGCTAGCACAGTCGTTAAAGTACACCACACCTGGAATAATAGAGTACAGGTATACAGATTGTAAAGAAAGCGAAAGTACACTTTACTTATACCCCACATGACAAACTTAAGGGCAAGCATCATTCCTTGATCTATCGGGTTTAGTGATAAACCGGGGTGACCGTGGACATAGTTACATATATATCCTCAGAGGTTCGGGTCAATTTGTCAAAACTGGCATGTGAGCTTTACTGAGAAAATAATATGTGAAATGCTGGTTATCCTCATTGGTAAGATATACTATTTGGGAGTCAGATATTTAGTAAGCAGTACTTTATAGAAGTAGGCATTCCCATGGGCACCACGTTTCATGTTTAATGTCTCAAAGTATATTGACAGAGTTTGGACAAATACGGTTTCTCATATATATATCCATGGTGACGTTTCTTTTGCGGTTCAGTATATGTATATCAACCAAGAATACCTAGTTATCTGTATGTGATTCAGTGCAAGCTGTGAGCGTGCAAGGTGCTCAGGGTGGAGGCTACATCCTTCACAGTTTGACTTAGTAAGTACCTTAAGTACCTTACAGCACTTATAATACTGCTATTGTTGTTGTTTCCTGGTGCACTCAGCAGTGATCCCCCTGTATGAAGGCGTACTTTAACTCATTGAGTCGAGAACAAATAGATAGATATAACACGTTCCGACTATAACTATGCCCCATTGCTTGACATAACACGTTCCGACAATAACCATGTCCTCAATGGATGATACAACACGTTCCGACTGTAACCATGCCCCATTGGTTTACATAACACTTTCCCACTATGACCATGCCCAATGGGTTGATATAACACGTTCCATCTATAACTATGCCCCCATGATTGACATAACACGTTCCGACTATAATCATGCCCCATTGGTTGATATAACACGTTCCGACTATAACTATGCCCTTATGGTTGACATAACACGTTCCGAATATAACTATGCCCCATTGGTTGACATAACACGTTCCGACTATAACAATGCCCCATCGGTTGGCATAACACGTTCCAACTATAGGCATGCTCCATTGGTTGATACAACACGTTCCGACTATAACAATACCCTATGGTTGACATAACACGTTCCGACTATAACTATGCCCCATTGGTTGGCATAACACGTTCCGACTATAGGCACGCTCCATTGGTTGATACAACACGTTCCGACTATAACAATACCCTATGGTTGACATAACACGTTCCGACTATAACTATGCCCCATTGGTTGATATAACACGTTCCGACTATACGCAAGTACCTTTGGTTGATATAACATGTTCCGACTTTGCTCATGCCCCATTGGTTGACATAGCACGTTCCGACTATAACTATGCCCCTATGGTTGATATAACACGTTCCGAATATAACTATGCCCCATTGGTTGACATAACACGTTCCGACTATAACAATGCCCCATCGGTTGATATAACTCGTTCCGATTATAACCATGCCCCTATGGTTGATAGAAGACGTTCTGACTATAACCATGTCCCATTGGTTGATATAACACGTTTGCACTATACGCAAGCACCTTTGGTTGATATGACTTGTTCCGACTTTGATAATGCTCCCATGGTTGATACAACACGTTCCGACTATAACTATGCCACTATGGGTGATATAACACGTTCCGATTATAACTATGCCACTATGGTTGATATAACACGTTCAGATTATAACTATGTCCCTACGGTTGATATTCCACGTTCCGACTATAACCATGCCCCAATGGTTGATTCAACACGTTCCGACTTTACGCAGGCACCTATGCTTGATATAACATGTTCGAGCTTCTCTCATGCCCCATTGGTTGATATAACACGTACCGACTATACTCATGCCCCCATGGTTAACATTACATGTTTCCACTATAACCATGCCCCTATGATTTATATAACACGTTCCGACTATAACTTTGCTCCTATGGTGGATATAACACGTTCCGACTATAACTATACCCTATGGTTGATGTACCATGTTCCGACTATAACCATCCCCTTGTGGTTGATATAACACGTTCCCACTTTGCTCATGCTTCACTAAACAGTCAGTAATGCCACTGTTGGTTGTGCTTCACTAAACAGTCAGTAATGCCACTGTTGGTTGTGCTTCACTAAGCAGTCAGTAATGCCACTGTTGACTGTGCTTCTCTAAACAGTCAGTAATGCCACTGTTGGTTGTGCTTCACTAAGCAGTCAGTAATGCCACTGTTGGCTGTGCTTCACTAAACAGTCAGTAATGCCACTGTTGGCTGTGCTTCACTAAACAGTCAGTAGTGTCTCTGCTGTTGGTGTTGCTTTACTAAACAGTCAGTAATGAATGGTGGGGTTTATTCTGCAGTAGAATTTGTTTATAAGATAAACATCGTGGGAAGACGGTTGTTGTGACACGTGGAATCCCTGACACACGCACGCACGCTTCCCCTTATCACTCGCGAAACAACAAACTCGCAGCATATGCAGATCATTTATTGGTTATGAAATAACATTTAGTGCAGCTATTTCATCTCCCCTTATGGAGCCATCATCTTCTGCAGGACAGCACTGACTGCATCAGGGGAGCCAATCTGGATGATGTTGGACGGTCCCGAAGCAATTAGGTGGATTGTAGAATTGGCATCTACTTCCGAGATAGCAACGACAAATACCTCAGCTTTGGCTTTCAGAGAACCAATACTGGCAGCAATGGCCCCCCGGTCTTCCATTGTGGTGTACCCATCGGTAAACATGATGACCTTGTTGTCAGCGTCATTGCGGTCGCCATTTATAATTGTACTTGTAGCCAGCTTGATGGCATCTCCAATGTTCGTAGAGGGACCCTCTTCGTATGTTTGCTGCTGGAGAGCTGCCAGAACCCCCGACTTGTTGTTGCTATATTCAGTGAATCTGAATACCACCCTAGCGTTTGAAGAAAACGCTATCAATGCAACGTTAACAGCATCACGGCCTATGGTGGTAGAGTTTACCATACTCTCTTGGAATCGTTTCATTTCGTCAAAGTTGGGTTTGCCGATGGAGCTCGACACATCTTCTACAATCAGGATGTCTAGCTTCCGGGCACTGGAGACTGGAAAACAAACGTACAATAGGTAAAGATTGTTCCTAGTTTGTAGATGAAGGGACTTTGTTGTTTGTTAAAATGTTACACATATATAGATAGGATAAATAGAAAGATAAATTTATCAATATAAGCGATTAAGGAGAACGAGGATGGTTGGCTCTATTGTCTGAAATGATTCTCCGTGTGAGGGTGTCAATACCGTGAATTTCTTGTTTTGTCCAATAAAAAACACCAAAAGAATACGAAAGGATAGGTATAGCAAAAGGATTTGTTTCTTTAACTTTATGGCGAGCATTCAGCTCTAAACTCCAGATTTCGTTCAGTCTACATTTATATTCTGACCGAAGGTTTTCCTTGATATGGCTAATTTGGAGTTTATGATTATTATTGACACTAAATGTATTGAGCATCTTCCACATATGCTGCTGCTGCAACTACAACTACTTCTGCTACAAAAATAAGTTCTCAACCGTGAAGAGTGCACTTCCTATGACTAGTGTTACTGAACCACTGTTCATAGAGGCAACAATTGTGAAAGTTGAGATAATCAGGACATTGTCTTCATGACAGTTTTAGAAGGGTGGAAATCAGTGTCTGCGCGCCATGAAAGTTGTTGAAGTGTCATAATCAGTGTGTGAACACCGTAAATATTTTTGAAGGTTGTTAATCAGTGTTTGGACGCAATGGCTGTTTGTAAAGGGGGTTAATTAGTGTGTGAACGCCATGGCGGTTTGTAAAAGGTGATAATCAGGTAGTGGTCGCTATGACAGCTTCAAAGGGGTGATAATCAGAATATGGTTTCCATAACAGTTCCGAATGAGGGAAAATTTGTCCACCGTCGCCATGGCAGTTTCAATGAATATATCCGCCAAGATAGTTCTTCCTGTATGAACATCAGGGTATATCCGCCATGATAGTTCTTCCTGTATGAACATCAGGGTATATCCGCCATGATAGTTCTTCCTGTATGAGCATCAGGATATATCCGCCATGATAGTTCTTCCTGTATGAAAATCAGGGTATATCCGCCATGATAGTTCTTCCTGTATGAACATCAGGGTATATCCGCCATGATAGTTCTTCCTGTATGAACATCAGGGTATATCCGCCATGATAGTTCTTCCTGTATGAACATCAGGGTATATCCGCCATGATAGTTCTTCCTGTATGAGCATCAGGATATATCCGCCATGATAGTTCTTCCTGTATGAAAATCAGGGTATATCCGCCATGATAGTTCTTCCTGTATGAACATCAGGGTATATCCGCCATGATAGTTCTTCCTGTATGAACATCAGGGTATATCCGCCATGATAGTTCTTCCTGTATGAACATCAGGGTATATCCGCCATGATAGTTTTTCCTGTATGAACATCAGGGTATATCCGCCATGATAGTTCTTCCTGTATGAGCATCAGGGTATATTCGCCATGATAGTTCTTCCTGTATGAGCACAAGGGTATATCCGCCATGATAGTTTTTCCTGTATGAGCATCAGGGTATATCCGCCATGATAGTTCTTCCTGTATGAGCACAAGGGAATATCCGCCATGATAGTTCTTCCTGTATGAACATCAGGGTATATCCGCCATGATAGTTCTTCCTGTATGAACATCAGGGTATATCCGCCATGATAGTTTTTCCTGTATGAACATCAGGGTATATCCGCCATGATAGTTCTTCCTGTATGAGCATCAGGGTATATTCGCCATGATAGTTCTTCCTGTATGAGCATCAGGGTATATCCGCCATGATAGTTCTTCCTGTATGAGCACAAGGGAATATCCGCCATGATAGTTCTTCCTGTATGAACATCAGAGTATATCCGCCATGATAGTTCTTCCTGTATGAAAATCAGGGTATATTCGCCATGATAGTTCTTCCTGTATGAACATCAAGGTATATCCGCCATGATAGTTCTTCCTGTATGAACATCAGGGTATATCCGCCATGATAGTTCTTCCTGTATGAACATCAGGGTATATCCGCCATGATAGGTCTTCCTGTATGAACATCAGGGTATATCCGCCATGATAGTTCTTTCTGTATGAACATCAGGGTATATCCGCCATGACAGTTCTTCCTGTATGAACATCAGAGTATATCCGCCGTGATAGTTCTTCCTGTATGACAATCAGGGTGTGGTCACTGTGAGAGTTTCGAATGGGTAAACATCAAGGTATGGACGCCAAAACAGTTTTCATTTTTCATACAATCAGTGAGTGGACAATACTTTCGAAGGATTGGAAACCAGGTAGTGGTTCCAGTAGCAATTGTCAAGGTGCGACATTCTGAATATAGTTACTATGGTTACCAGGAGAGTTTGGAAGGGATCAGAATCAGGGTATTGTCCCTGAATATAGTTACCAGGAGAGTTTGGAAGGGATCAGAATCAGGGTATTGTCTCTGAATATAGTTACCAGGAGAGTTTGGAAGGGATCAGAATCAGAGTATTGTCTCTGAATATAGTTACCAGGAGAGTTAGGAAGGGATCAGAATCAGGGTATTGTCTCTGAATATAGTTACCAGGAGAGTTTGGAAGGGATCAGAATCAGGGTATCGTCTCTGAATATAGCTACCAGGAGAGTTTGGAAGGGATCAGAATCAGAGTATTGTCTCTATATATAGTTACCAGGGGAGTTTGGAAGGGATCAGAATCAGAGTATTGTCTCTGAATATAGTTACCAGGAGAGTTTGGAAGGGATCAGAATCAGGGTATCGTCTCTGAATATAGCTACCAGGAGAGTTTGGAAGGGATCAGAATCAGAGTATTGTCTCTGAATATAGTTACCAGGAGAGTTTGGAAGGGATCAGAATCAGAGTATTGTCTCTGAACATAGTTACCAGGATAGTTTGGAAGGGATCAGAATCAGGGTATTGTCTCTGATTATTGTTACCAGGAGAGTTTGGAAGGGATCAGAATCAGGGTATTGTCTCTGAATATAGTTACCAGGAGAGTTTGGAAGGGATCAGAATCAGGGTATTGTCTCTGATTATTGTTACCAGGAGAGTTTGGAAGGGATCAGAATCAGGGTATTGTCTCTGAATATAGTTGCCAGGATAGTTTGGAAGGGATCAGAATCAGCCTATTGTCTCTGAATATAGCCACCAGGAGAGTTTGGAAGGGATCAGAATCAGGGTATTGTCTCTGAATATAGTTACCAGGAGAGTTTGGAAGGGATCAGAATCAGGGTATTGTCTCTGATTATTGTTACCAGGAGAGTTTCGAAGGGATCAGAATCAGGGTATTGTCTCTATGGCAGGATTGAGTTCTTGAAAATCAAGATTTGGACGCCAAAACAGTTTTGAAGGGGTGAAAATAAGTGTCCGGTCAATGTGAGAGTTTCGCAGGCGTGAGAATCAGGGTGTGGTCACAAGGAAAGTTTCGAATGGGTGGAAATCAAGATATGGACGCAAAAAACAGTTTTGAGGAGGTAAAGATCAAGGTTTTGAAGGGATGAAAATCAGTGGATGGTTTCAATGACAGTTACGAATGGTTGCAAATCTTGATGTGGTCGCTGTGACAGTTTTGAATGAGTAAAAGTCAATACCAATACTGTTTTTTGAAGGGGTAAAAGTAAGGATGTGATTGCCATGGCAGTTTGTAAAGGGTGGTAGTTCGTTTGTGATAATCAGGGTGTGAACGCCACGACAGCTCTTAAAGGGTCATAATCAGGTTGTGGTCGATATGACAGTTTCGAAAGGGTGAAAATCAGGGCATGGTTTCATAACAGTTGCGAATAATCGAAAATAAAGTATCAAGGGGCTGAAAGTCAGGATATGATCGCCATGAAAGTTTCCAAAGCATGAATCTCAGGGAGTGGTTGGTATGACAGTTTCGAAGTGGTGATAATCAGTGTGTGAACGCCATGACAGTTTTTAAATGGTGATAATCAAGCTGGAATGTTACTGAGTGTGGTGTCATACAGCAAACATACAAACTAATAAAAACAATCTGACACGCCGTCATGCCGCTCAAAACGTCTTAAAGGTGCGTTGAAGCGAAGTCATCCCATCATGGCTACTCTGAAACCTACCTGTACAGTGCACGCCCGAAAAACCAGGCAGACAGGCGCAGCTGTAGCCGTTCCATATCTCCGTGCATGTGCCTCCATTAGCACAAGGTTTCTGTTCATCACAGACGTATTCCTCTGCAAATTGAAAAAAATAAGCTTAATTAGTTTCCAGAACGAGTTTTAAAATAAGAATAAAAAAGTTACCGCCCATAGCTTTCGAAGGTTGCTAATCAGTATCTCAATGCCATGACAGTTTTTTTTGTTTATTCTTATAATCAAGGTGTGGTCGCCATACTAGTTTTTAAAGCTCGATAATCAGGATGTTGTCGCCTTGAACGTTTTTGAGGATGGTAATTAGAGTGTGAACGCCATGACAGTTGTTAAAGGATGGTAATTAGTGTGTGAACGCCATGACAGTTGTTAAAGGCTGGTAATTAGTGTGTGAACGCCATGACAGTTGTTAAAGGCTGGTAATTAGTGTGTGAACGCCATGACAGTAGTTAAAGGCTGGTAATTAGAGTGTGAACGCCATGACAGTTGTTAAAGGATGGTAATTAGTATGTGAACGCCATGACAGTTGTTAAAGGATGGTAATTAGTGTGTGAACGCCATGACAGTTGTTAAAGGCTGGTAATTAGTGTGTGAACGCCATGACAGTTGTTAAAGGCTGGTAATTAGAGTGTGAACGCTATGACAGTTGTTAAAGGCTGGTAATTAGAGTGCGAACGTCATGACAGTTGTTAATGGATGGTAATTAGTGTGTGAACGTCATGACAGTTGTAAAAGGATGGTAATTAGAGTGTGAACGCCATGACAGTTGTAAAAGGATGGTAATTAAAGTGTGAACGCCATGACAGTGGTTAAAGGCTGGTAATTAGAGTGTGAACGCCATGACAGTTGTTAAAGGCTGGTAATTAGAGTGTGAACGTCATGACAGTTGTTAATGGATGGTAATTAGTGTGTGAACGTCATGACAGTTGTAAAAGGATGGTAATTAGAGTGTGAACGCCATGACAGTTGTAAAAGGATGGTAATTAAAGTGTGAACGCCATGACAGTTGTTAAAGGCTGGTAATTAGAGTGTGAACGCCATGACAGTTGTTAAAGGCTGGTAATTAGTGTGTGAACGCCATGACAGTTGTTAAAGGCTGTTAATTAGAGTGTGAACGTCATGACAGTTGTTAAAGGCTGGTAATTAGTGTGTGAACGTCATGACAGTTGTTAAAGGCTGGTAATTAGAGTGTGAACGTCATGACAGTTGTTAATGCATGGTAATTAGTGTGTGAACGCCATGACAGTTGTTAAAGGCTGGTAATTAGTGTGTGAACGCCATGACAGTTGTTAAAGGCTGGTAATTAGAGTGCGAACGTCATGACAGTTGTTAAAGGCTGGTAATTAGTGTGTGAACGTCATGACAGTTGTTAATGGATGGTAATTAGTGTGTGAACGTCATGACAGTTGTTAAAGGCTGGTAATTAGAGTGTGAACGCCATGACAGTTGTTAAAGGCTGGTAATTAGTGTGTGAACGTCATGACAGTTGTTAAAGGCTGGTAATTAGTGTGTAAACGCCATGACAGTTGTTAAAGGCTGGTAATTAGTGTGTGAACGCCATGACAGTTGTTAAAGGATGGTAATTAGTGTGTGAACGCTATGACAGTTGTTAAAGGATGGTAATTAGTGTGTGAACGCCATGACAGTTGTTAAAGGCTGGTAATTAGTGTGTGAACGCCATGACAGTTGTTAAAGGCTGGTAATTAGTGTGTGAACGCCATGACAGTTGTTAAAGGATGGTAATTAGTGTGTGAACGCCATGACAGTTGTTAAAGGCTGGTAATTAGTGTGTGAACGCCATGACAGTTGTTAAAGGCTGATAATCAGTATATTCGAAGGTTGCTAATCAGTATCTCAATGCCATGACAGTTTTTTTTGTTTATTCTTATAATCAAGGTTTGGTCGCCATACTAGTTTTTAAAGCGCGATAATCAGGATGTGGTCGCCTTGAACGTTTTTGAGGATGGTAATTAGAGTGTGAACGTCATGACAGTTGTTAAAGGATGGTAATTAGTGTGTGAACGTCATGACAGTTGTTAAAGGCTGGCAATTAGTGTGTGAACGCCATGACAGTTGTTAAAGGCTGGTAATTAGAGTGTGATCGCCATGACAGTTGTTAAAGGCTGGTAATTAGAGTGTGAACGTCATGACAGTTGTTAAAGGCTGGTAATTAGAGTGTGAACGTCATGACAGTTGTTAAAGGCTGGTAATTAGAGTGTGAACGCTATGTCAGTTGTTAAAGGCTGGTAATTAGAGCGTGGACGTCATGACAGTTGTTAAAGGCTGGTAATTAGAGTGTGAACGTCATGACAGTTGTTAAAGGCTGGTAATTAGAGTGTGAACGTCATGACAGTTGTTAAAGGCTGGTAATTAGAGTGTGAACGTCATGACGGTTGTAAAAGGCTGGTAATTAGAGTGTGAACGCCATGACAGTTGTTAAAGGATGGTAATTAGTGTGTGAACGCCATGACAGTTGTTAAAGGCTGGCAATTAGTGTATGAACGCCATGACAGTTGTTAAAGGCTGATAATCAGTATGTAAACGCAGATCGGATTGTAAAGGGTGATAAGCAGGTGTGGGCACCATGTCCGTTTTTTAAAGGGTTATAGTTGGATCGCCATGCCAGTTTTTAAAGATGGTGATCGATGTGTAAACGACACAACAGATGTTGAAGGCTGGTAATCAGTGTGTAAACGACATGACGGTTTGTAAGGAGGTTGGGTCACCATGTCAGTTTTTGAAGATGGTAATCAGTGTGTAAACGACATGATCGCTTGTAAAGGGTAATACACAGGTGCGGACGCCATGCCATTTTTTAAAGATGGTAATTAGTTTGTGAACGCCATGACAGTTGTTAAATGCTGGTAAGCAGTGTGTAAATGCCATGACAGTTTGGACTGCGTGACAGTTGAAGGGTTGACCATCAGTGTCCGGACATCATGACAGTTGAATTGTTGAACATCAGTGTCTGGACAGCATGACAGTTGACGGGCTGACCATCAGTGTCTGGACATCATGACAGTTGAAGGGTTGAACATCAGGGTCTGGACAGCATGACAGTTGAAGGGTTGACCATCAGTGTCTGGACAGCATGACAGTTGAAGGGTTGAACATCAGGGTCTGGACAGCATGACAGTTGAAGGGCTGACCATCAGTGTCTGGACAGCATGACGGTTGAAGGGTTGAACATCAGTGTCTGTACAGCATTACAGTTGAAGGGTTGACCATTAGTGTCTGTACAGCGTGACAGTTGAAGGGTTGACCATCAGTGTCTGGACAGCATGACAGTTGAAGGGTTGCCCATCAGTGTCTGTACAGCAAGGCAGTTGAAGGATTGGACATCAGTTTATGTACAGCGTGACAGTTGAAGGGTTGACCATCAGTGCCTGGACATCATGAAAGTTGAAGGGTTGACCATCAGTGTCTTGACATCATGAAAGTTGAAGGGTTGAACATCAGGGTCTGGACATCATGACAGATGAAGGGTTGACCATCAGTGTCTGGACAGCATGACAGTTGAAGGGTTGACCATCAGTGTCTTGACATCATGACGATTGAATGGTTGACCATCAGTGTCTAAAAATCATGACAGATGAAGGGTTGACCATCAGTGTCTGGACAGCATGACAGTTGAAGGGTTGACCATCAGTGTCTGGACAGCATGACAATTGACGGGCTGACCATCAGTGTCTGGACATCATGACAGTTGAAGGGTTGACCATCAGTGTGTGGACAGCATGACAGTTGAAGGGTTGACCATCAGTGTCTGGACAGCATGACAGTTGAAGGGCTGACCATCAGTGTCTGGACAGCATGACAGTTGAATGGTTGACCATCAGTGTCTAAAAATCATGACAGATGAAGGGTTGACCATCAGTGTCTGGACAGCATGACAGTTGAAGGGTTGACCATCAGTGTCTGGACAGCATGACGGTTGAAGGGTTGACCATCAGTGTCTGGACAGCATGACAGTTGAAGGGTTGCCCATCAGTGTCTGTACAGCAAGGCAGTTGAAGGATTGGACATCAGTTTATGTACAGCGTGACAGTTGAAGGGTTGACCATCAGGGCCTGGACATCATGAAAGTTGAAGGGTTGACCATCAGTGTCTTGACAGCGTGACAGTTGAAGGGTTGAACATCAGTGTCTGGACATCATGACAGATGAAGGGTTGACCATCAGTGTCTGGCCAGCATGACAGTTGAATGGTTGACCATCAGTGTCTTGACATCATGACGACTGAATGGTTGACCATCAGTGTCTAAAAATCACGACAGATGAAGGGTTGACCATCAGTGTCTGGACAGCATGACAGTTGAAGGGTTGACCATCAGTGTCTGGACAGTATGACAGTTGAAGGGTTGACCATCAGTGTCTGGACAGCATGACAGTTGAAGGGTTGACCATCAGTGTCTTGACAGCATGACAGTTGAAGGGTTGACCATCAGTGTCTGGATAGCACGACAGTTGAAGGCTTGACCATCAGTGTCTGCACAACATGGCAGTTGAAGGGTTGACCATCAGTGTCTGGAGAGCAAGACAGTTGAAGGGTTGACAATCAGTGTCTGTACAGCATGACGATTGAATGGTTGACCATCAGTGTCTGAAAATCATGACAGATGAAGGGTTGACCATCAGTGTCTGGACATCATGACAGTTGAAGGGTTGACCATCAGTGTCTGGACAGCATGACAGTTGAAGGGTTGACCATAAGTGTCTGAAAATCATGACAGATGAAGGGTTGACCATCAGTGTCTTGACAGCATGACATTTGAAGGGTTGACCATCAGTGTCTGGACATCATGACGGTTGAAGGGTTGACCATCAGTGACTTGACAGCATGACAGTTGAAGGGTTGACCATCTGTGTCTGGCCAGCTTGGGAGTTAAAGACTTGACCATCAGTGCCTGGACAGCATGACAGTTGAAGGCTTGACCATCAGTGTCTGGACAGCATGACAGTTGAAGGGTTGACCATCAGTGTCTGCACAACATGGCAGTTGAAGGGTTGACCAACAGTGTCTGGACAGCATGACAGTTGAATGGTTGACCATCAGTGTCTGGATAGCATGACAGTTGAAGGGTTGACCATCAGTGTCTGGACATCATGACAGATGAAAGATTGACCATTAGTGTCTGGACAGCATGAAAGTTGAAGGGTTGACCATCAGTGTCTGGACATCATGACGGTTGAAGGGTTGACCATCAGTGTCTGGACAGCATGACAGTTGAAAGGTTGTACATCAGTGTCTGGACAGCATGACAGTTGAAGGGTTGACCATCAGTGTATGGACAGCATGACAGTTGAAGGGTTGACCATCAGTGTCTGGACAGCATAACAGTTGAATGGTTGACCATCAGTGTCTGGACAGCATGACAGTTGATGGGTTGACCATCAGTGTATGGACATCATGACAGTTGAAGGGTTGACCATCAGTGTCTGGACATCATGACGGTTGAAGGGTTGACCATCAGTGTCTGGACAGCATGACAGTTGAAGGATTGACGATTAGTGTCTGGACAGCATGACAGTTGAAGGGTTGACCATCAGTGTCTGGACATGACAGTTGAAGTGTTGAACATCAGTGTCTGGCCACCATGACAGTTGAAGGGTTGACCATCAGTGTCTGGACAGCATGACAGTTGAAGGGTTGAACATCAGTGTCTGGACATCATGGCAGTTGAAGGATTGACCATCAGTGTCTGGACAGCATGACAGATGAAGGGTTGACCATCAGTGTCTGGACAGCATGACAGTTGAAGGGTTGACCATCAGTGTCTGGACAGCATGACAGATGAAGGGTTGACCATCAGTGTCTGGACATCATGACGTTTGAAGGGTTGACCATCAGTGTCTGGACAGCATGACAGTTGAAGGGTTGACCATCAATGTCTGGACATCATGACAGTTGAAGGGTTGACCATCAGTGTCTGGACATCATGACGGTTGAAGGGTTGACCATCAGTGTCTGGACAGCATGACAGTTGAAGTGTTGCCCATCATTGTATGTACAGCGTGACAGTTGAAGGGTTGACCATAAGTGTCTGGACATCATGACAGTTGAAGGGTTGACCATCAGTGTCTGGACAGCATGACAGTTGAAGGGTTGACCATCAGTGTCTGGACATCATGACATTTGAAGGGTTGACCATCAGTGTCTGGACATCATGACAGTTGAAGGGTTGACCATCAGTGTCTGGACAGCATGACAGTTGAAGGGTTTACCATCAGTGTCTGGACATCATGACATTTGAAGGATTGACCATCAGTGTCTGGACATCATGACATTTGAAGGGTTGACCATCAGTGTCTGGACATCATGACATTTGAAGGATTGACCATCAGTGTGTCGTGGCAATGACTGCTTCGCGAGGAGAAAGATACGGGTTTGGTTGCCATGACAATTTCAAAGGTTTGGAAATCATGTTGTGATCGGTGTGACAGTTAAGAGAGCTTGGAATCAGTGTGTGATCGCTGTGACAGCTAAGAGGGCTGGGAATCAGGGTGTGGTCGCTGTGACAGTTAAGAGGGCTGGCAATCAGCGTGTGGTCGCTGTGACAGTTAAGAGGGCTGGGAATCAGTGTGTGGTCGCTGTGAAAGTTAAGAGGGCTGGGAATCAGGGTGTGGTCGCTGTGATAGTTAAGAAGGCTGGGAATCAGGATGTTGTCGCTGTGACAGTTACGAGTGCTGGGAATCAAGGTGTGGTCGCTGTGACAGTTAAGAGGGCTTGGAATCAGGGTGTGGTCGCTGTGACAGTTAAGAGGGCTGGGAATCAGCGTGTGGTCCCTGTGACAGTTAAGAGGGCTGGGAATCAGTGTGTGGTCGCTGTGACAGTTAAGAGAGCTGGGATTCAGCGTGTGGTCGCTATGACAGTTAACAGGGCTGGGATGCAGGGTGTGGTCCCTGTGACAATTAAGAGGGTTGGGAATCAGGGTGTTGTCGCTGTGACAGTTAAGAGGGCTGGGAATCAGGGTGTGGTCGCTGTGACAGTTAAGAGGGCTTGGAATCAGCGTGTGGTCGCTGTGACAGTTAAGAGGGCTGGGAATCAGGGTGTGGTCGCTGTGACAGTTAAGAGGGCTGGGAATCAGTGTGTGGTCGCTGTGAAAGTTAAGAGGGCTGGGAATCAGCGTGTGGTCGCTGTGACAGTTAAGAGGGCTGGGAATCAGGGTGTGGTCGCTGTGACAGTTAAGAGGTCTGGGAATCAGCGTGTGGTCGCTGTGACAGTTAAGAGGGCTGGGAATCAGTGTGTGGTCGCTGTGAAAGTTAAGAGGGCTGGGAATCAGGGTGTGGTCGCTGTGATAGTTAAGAAGGCTGGGAATCAGGATGTTGTCGCTGTGACAGTTACGAGTGCTGGGAATCAAGGTGTGGTCGCTGTGACAGTTAAGAGGGCTGGGAATCAGGGTGTTGTCGCTGTGACAGTTAAGAGGGCTGGGAATCAGTGTGTGGTCGCTATGACAGTTAACAGGGCTGGGATGCAGGGTGTGGTCCCTGTGACAATTAAGAGGGCTGGGAATCAGGGTGTGGTCGCTGTGACAGTTAAGAGGGCTGGGAATCAGTGTGTGGTCGCTGTGACAGTTAAGAGAGCTGGGATTCAGCGTGTGGTCGCTATGACAGTTAACAGGGCTGGGATGCAGGGTGTGGTCCCTGTGACAATTAAGAGGGCTGGGAATCAGGGTGTGGTCGCTGTGACAGTTAAGAGGGCTGGGATGCAGGGTGTGGTCGCTGTGACAGTTAACAGGGCTGGGATGCAGGGTGTGGTCCCTGTGACAGTTAAGAGGGCTGGGAATCAGGGTGTGGTCGCTGTGACAGTTAAGAGGGCTGGGAATCAGGGTGTGGTCGCTGTGACAGTTAAGAGAGCTGGGAATCAGTGTGTGGTCGCTGTGACAGTTAAGAGGGTTGGGAATCAGGGTGTGGTCGCTGTGACAGTTAAGAGAGCTAGGAATCAGCGTGTGGTCGCTGTGACAGTTAAGAGGGTTGGGAATCATTGTGTGGTCGCTGTGCAAGTTAAGAGGGCTGGGAATCAGGATGTTGTCGCTGTGACAGTTAAGAGGGTTGGGAATCAGGGTGTGGTCGCTGTGACAGTTAAGAGGGCTCGGAATCAGTGTGTGGTCGCTGTGACAGTTAAGAGGGCTGGGAATCAGGGTGTGGTCGCTGTGACAGTTAAGAGGGCTGGGAATCAGTGTGTGGTCGCTGTGACAGTTAAGAGGGCTGGGAATCAGTGTGTGGTCGCTGTGACAGTTAAGAGGGCTGGGAATCAGGGTGTGGTCGCTGTGACAGTTAAGAGGGCTGGGAATCAGTGGGTGGTCGCTGTGAAAGTTAAGAGGGCTTGGAATCAGCGTGTGGTCGCTGTGACAGTTAAGAGGGCTTGGAATCAGCGTGTGGTCGCTATGACAGTTAACAGGGCTGGGATGCAGGGTGTGGTCCCTGTGACAGTTAAGAGGGCTGGGAATCAGTGTGTGGTCGCTGTGACAGTTAAGAGGGCTGGGAATCAGTGTGTGGTCGCTGTGACAGTTAAGAGGGCTGGGAATCAGGGTGTGGTCGCTGTGAAAGTTAAGAGGGCTGGGAATCAGTGTGTGGTCGCTGTGAAAGTTAAGAGGGCTGGGAATCAGGGTGTGGTCGCTGTGATAGTTAAGAGAGCTAGGAATCAGCGTGTGGTCGCTGTGACAGTTAAGAGGGTTGGGAATCAGTGTGTGGTCGCTGTGCAAGTTAAGAGGGCTGGGAATCAGGATGTTGTCGCTGTGACAGTTAAGAGAGCTGGGAATCAGGGTGTTGTCGCTGTGACAGTTAATAGGGTTGGGAATCAGGGTGTGGTCGCTGTGACAGTTAAGAGGGCTCGGAATCAGTGTGTGGTCGCTGTGACAGTTAAGAGGGCTAGGAATCAGGGTGTCGTCGCTGTGACAGTTAAGAGGGCTGGGAAGCAGGGTGTGGTCGCTGTGACAATTAAGAGGGCTGGGAAGCAGGGTGTGGTCACTATGTCAGTTAAGAGGGCTGGGAAGCAGGGTGTGGTCGCTGTGACAATTAAGAGGGCTGGGAATCAGGGTGTGGTCACTATGTCAGTTTGGTCATGGGAAAATCAGGATGTGGCTAGCTATGACTGTGTAGATCGGGTAAGAATCAAGGTGTGGTCACGATGAAAGTTAAGGGGGAATAACAATCAGAGTGTGGTCACTATGTCAGTTTGGAGGGAATAAGTATCGGGGTGTTGCCGCTATGACAGTTTGGAGTAGCACCGGGCTGTGATTGCCATGACAGTTCCAAGGTGGAGTAAAGCAGGCTGTGTTCTCTGTGATAGTTCCAGGGGCTGTGAATCAGGGCATCATTGCCGTAACAATGCAGATGGGGTGAGAATCAGGGCGTCATTGCCATAACAGTGCAGCAGGGGTGAGATTCAGGGTTTGACTGCACAGCGCGGATGGCTGAGAAATGAAGTGTGGTTGGTCACTATGGGGGGTGGGGGGGGGTGGGGTGGGGGTGGGGGGGGGGGGGGGGGGTGGGGGGGGGAAGGTAAATTAAAGTAAAGTAGTACACCCGAAGACTTACCAAAGCAATATGCTGCCCCACTTATACTCCTGGGGAGATGATATATTTCTCTACTCCCACACATCCTCGTCTCGATGTTGATACAAACGAGATTTAAAAATCTGAGACACACTGCAGACGAGTCTCCAGTTTTAGCTGGGAACACACAGAATTAGAGTTGGTCAATATATTTTAAAACTAACTGAAATTTAACTGCATGTGATGTCAGTAAAACAGCCATAATTCTTCTTTAAATTAAAACACTCAGTTATGGCTTTCTGTACTGTAGTAAATATAGTATACTAAATATATTGATGCAATACAGAACGCCATGTAATGGAGTCTGATAATGTAACCTCACAATAAAACAAATCATCACACATCGACACACACCAAGATTAAATATCGCCATACGTCAACATGCATCCCATACATCACACACATCAACACGCATCACGCATATCAACACACATCAGCACATATATCACACGTAAACACACACACACACACACACACACACACACACACACACACACACACACACACACACACACACACACACACACACACACACACACACACACACACACACACACACACACACACACACCAAAGATCAACACACACACACACACACCAAAGATCGTCACACATTACACAATTCATCACATGCTTCTTCACACATCACACACTGAACCAAAGGTCAACACCCATCAGACACATAAACACACATCAACACGCATCAACCCACATCAAAACAAACTAACACACACAGCAAACACATCAACACCCACCAACACACATTACCCCCACACATCAAGGCACTACATCGCATCAACACCCACTAACACATATTACCACACTTTACCCCCACACATCAAGGCACTACATCGCATCAACACCCGGCAACACACATTACCACACATTACCCCCACAAATCAACACACTACATCGCATCAACACCCACCAACACACATTACCACACATTACCCCCACACATCAACACACTACATCGCATCAACACACATCAACACACATTAACACACAACACAACATATCACACCACATCACAACACATCACCATTAGTCACCACACCTCGACATATTGAAAACAAACTAAACACATCGCAACACATTGCAACACATCACCATACATCACAGCACATCACAACACATCGCATCAAATCAACACACATCAACACACACTAATACAACTGATAGACATCAAAACACCTCACAACACATCACTACACAGCACAATACATCACTGCATACCACCACATATCACCACACAGCAACACACAACAAATCACATCACAACACATTGCAACACATCACAACACAACACAATACATCACTGTACACCACCACATATCACCACACAGCATCACACAACAAAACACATTGCAACACATCACCACATATCTAGACGCAACACAATACATCACTGCATACCACCACATATCACCACACAGCATCACACAACAAAACACATTGCAACACATCACCACATATCAAGACGCAACACAATACATCACTGCATACCACCACATATCACCACACAGCATCACACAACAAAACACATTGCAACACATCACCACATATCAAGACGCAACACAATACATCACTGCATACCACCACATATCACCACACAGCATCACACAACAAAACACATTGCAACACATCACCACATATCAAGACGCAACACAATACATCACTGCATACCACCACATATCACCACACAGCATCACACTACAAAACACATTGCAACACATCACCACATATCACAACACAACACAATACATCACTGCACACCACCGCATGTCACCAGACAACAACAAAAACTAACACGCATTAACACACAAGGAAAAGCAACACATCACAACACATCGCCACACATAATCACCATTCACAACAATCTAACACGCATCAACACCCATCACAAAGCATCAACACACATCAACACATATCACCAAAAATCACAACACATCACCACCACTCACATCTTTTCAACATACATCAACACAATATAACACACATCAACACACATCACAACACATCAACACATATCGAAACACATCAACACAAATTTACACACTTCACCACAAACTAAAACAAATCACAACACAATAAATCACCACAGACCGCCACACTTCACCACATAACAACACACATTAACACACATCGCAACACAACACAAGTAACCATCAAAGCATCAACACGCATCATTACACATCACTACACATCACAACACATCAATACGCATCAACACACATCACCACCAATCACCACACCTCAACATACATCAACACACATCACAAGACATCAACACATCTCACAAAACATCACATCACATCAACATACATACACACATATCGACATACATCAATATAAACTAACACACGTCACCAAACATAAACACACATCAACACATTCCAACACAAACTAACATACAACACATATCACAACGCACCGACAGACATCACAACACATCACAAAACAACACAACACATCACTACACATCATTACACATCACCCCCTTCCGCGTCATACCAAAAGACGTTAAAATATAGTACTTGTTGTTACCCTGTCTGGCGCTCGGCATTAAGGGGCTAAAACAAGGACTGGTCGGCTCAGAGTATTAATGTTAAACTGCGGCATGGTATCTCAGTGAGCTAGCACTAAAAAATCGGTTTCAGTCCCAACTAGTACAAACAGCCACACAAACATACACACGTACATGCACGTCGCTATATAAGTGCAATAATCTTTGACGCGACGTTAAACCCATGTCACCTCACCTCAGTACACATCAACACACATCAACACACATCAACACATTACAAAACACATCACAATATTTTACCACACATTACCATACATCACCACTCATCACAAAACAACACTATACCTCACCTTACCACACAACACATCACAAAACGTCCCCACACATCACCACACATCATACCACATCATCACGAATCACCACGAACCACCCCACCATGTAACCACGTCATCCTATTCAATCACACACCACTACATCATTTAACCACACCACTATGTTGTCACACACCGTCACACCATGTCACTCTATGCTACCATACATCACCATTTAACCACACAACTATGCTGTCACACACCGTCACACCATGTCACTCTATGCTATCACACACCACCACATCATGTAACCACATCACTCTGCTGTCACACACCGTCACATCATGCCACTCTATGCTGCCACACACCACCACATCATGTAACCACACCACTATGTTGTCACACACCATCACACCATGACACTCTATACTACCACACACAACCACCTAATGTAACCACCTCACTATGTTGTCACACACCGTCACATCATGTCACTCTATACTACCACACACAACCACCTCATGTAACCACACCACTATGCTGTCACACACAGTCACATCATGCAACCACACCACTATGCTGTCACATACCGTCACACCATGTCACTCTATGCTACCACACACCACCATACCATGTAACCATACCACTATGCTGTCGCACACAGTCACTTCATGCAACCACACCACTGTGTTGCCACACACCGTCACACCATGTCACTCTATGCTACCACACACAACCATATCATGTAACCACACCACTATGCTGTCGCACACAGCCACATCATGCAACTACACCACTATGCTGTCACACATCGTCACACCATGTAACCACACCACTATGTTATCACACACCGTCACACCATGTCACTCTATGCTACCACACACAACCACACCATGTAACCACACCACTATGCTGTCACACACCGTCTCACCATGCAACTACACCATTATGTTGTCACACACCGTCACACCATGCAACCACAAGGCTTACACGTTCTGTATAGCGGGGCGTTATTTCCACAAACATATCCTCTTCCAGGGTCCCGGCTGAGCTTCCATTTATTTGGGGCTGCATACCACCCCAGGGGCAGTTGGCTGTCATCAATGGTGAGTGAATTTTCTGTCGTTGTGGGTTTTCGAGACTCGATGTTGTCAAGTTCTGTGAAGCTTTCACACGGATCTGAATCACACAGGACACAGCTCAAGTCAGTATCAGTCAGTTCTGTTTACTGCTCTAAAAGGAGTGATGTGCCCAGAGATCTGTTTGTGTGTTTGTTGGTGTGCTTGTTTGTTTGTTTGTACCAGTGACTGACATCATAAGCACTGGTCTGTGCTATTTGGTAAAATGGCATGCCTCAACTAAGTCAGCGAAGCTGACCACCCGATCCCGCCAGTCGCCTCTTACGACAAGCATGGGTTGTTGAAAAGTGCATGGAATGCATTCCACTGTCTATACACACTCGCTAGCTAAGTAATGATGGTGGGTAAATTAGAATCGCCACTGGTGGGTCGGGCGTTGTCGACATTTCGTCCGTTGTCCTTTTTACAGGTGCATCCGAACAGGACATGTGTCTGGAGGAACAACTACGATACACAAACTGTACAAATGTAGAACCGATCTTGTGAACTTCAGGTGCTGGTTGGCTTCATGGCCTCAGTGGACTCAGTTGCTGTTTGCTGCTGTAAAGAGTTTCAAGTGTATTCAAGGCATGAACAATGGGATTTCTATATGCAGCCAGCCATCGTTGATATTTCTTGCAGTAAAATATATCCTCAAACCATGATATGACCATTGGTCTGAAACGTGGTGGGTGAGATAGTCACTTTATGAAGTACCAAGTTAGTTCAAGATGATCGGAAATACAATATGGTTGCCAGTCGCCATACTGGAAAGTACAAAACATCATCCATCGTAATCAGTCTCATTAAAATCAGATCATAGTTCTCGCTATCGCTAAACAACGACCTGATGACATCCCGTTGCGGGTCACGCCAGAACGACCTTCTTCTGACCAATCAAAGCGTCGCTTACCAGATCATGAAAGGGATAGTCCAAATGTATTTTGTAATTGTAGCAGGATACCTTTATCATATTCTTCCTAGTTATATCATTATTCATACATCATCATCATAATCATCTATATGTTCAGTGTTTGTCTTGTCTACAGTTGAATATCAGTATATAACTCATTAAACAACTCAACACCCTAATTTTCAGTCTCTGTTAATCTCTCACCAGATCTTCCCCTTCAACCTTCTGTCTATCTTTAGACATTTTTCACACCTGTAGGGTTTCCCTCAGTCAATTTATAACTTGCATTAAGCACTTCATTTGATGCTTAATGCAATGTGTCTTCTAATTGGCCACCCTGGTCCCCTACAGGTAGCTTCCTTCCATACCTGACTTCCTCCTCACTTCATGTGCTGCTGTTGAGGAGGAAGGACATTTTCTTTTCTTCAGGTATGGAATGGCCATATTTCAATCTGTTTTCATCTGCTTCTGTCAGAAATTAATATCTATATTAGGGTGCTGAATTAAATTGAATAATATAATAATATCATTTAAAGTAATATTACATTAGTGAATGGAATATTGATATAATAAAACTTGCCTGTAAAATAATTAACCACATGGTCCATGTGCTTTTCAAGTGTCCTAAAGTGAACTTATAACTGTAATTTAGCATTAAAGTTAGTTTTATCATAGTCATTAAATGACTTTTTGTACTTATATATTTAAGATAAATAATACCTGTGAACTTGCAAATATATGACTTCATGTGCTGCTGTTGAGGAGGAAGGACATTTTCTTTTCTTCAGATAGTTCCTCAACAGCAGCCAACCCCTTGTAATAAACCCATTATCATCATCTGCCTGTGTCTGTGTTTCCAAACGGCCCAAGCCAGATTATTACCACTACCCCGGTTACATAATCATGCAACCTCGTAAACGTTAACACAGGGTAATCCGAACGACAGTTACGGTCCGTACGACTGATTCCGTAAAAATGATCGTCTATCTCTTGCTTCCCTGAGATAAACATTTGAACGGAGGAGGCGTTACGCAGTACGTTGGAAGCACTGCCATACACTCTCAACCATATATGAGCCATTCCAAAATGTTCGCTTGATCAGTTTTCGAATTTTTATTCGAGAACTGTGTCAATATATTTTTCAAGCGTAGACAAAAATTGAAGTCGCCAGGTTGAAACGAGTGCGGTAAAGCTCGATAAAGCTGCTTTCTAAATGGCTGATGTCGACTTCTTGTTAGTTATTTTAGTCGTCGGTCAAAGTTCGCGAAAGCTCGACGTGACCCGTAATGTGATGTCCTACAGATCTTTGTTTAGCGGCAGCGAGAACTGAGGTCTGATGTTTCTTCTCCTCAGAAACCACGTGATCAATGTAGCTGAAACTTCACATTTTTCTTCCCACAAATGATAACATCTGAATTTGTTCAAGAGGTTTGAATCCGATTGTTTCCGATACGGGGGTATTCAATAGGTCTATAATACCATTCGATTATCATAATTATGCGGATCTTTCATCACTTCTGATTCAATATCTGGACTTCAATTTTTCGTACTCAACTTACTTTGAAGAGCTAATGATTGAGTTCAAACTTATTGTTGTTGGTTATTCCATCGAATAAAATGTAAAGTGTCAATAGGGCAAGAGATATGCGATACGTGTGAGCGACAGTAACCAACTTACCCTGGATGCAGCACGAGTGACAAATCAGCAGGAGAAGCAGCAGTATTATCGGATCCTTGAAGAATCAACATTTAAAACAACTGAAAGTCTGCTTCAAAATTAAAGTGGTGAGATTTGTTTTCTATCAATTCTCAGCTTCAGTATCACATGGAAATACGAAACAAAAATATATATAATACATCAACTGAGGGGCAACTGTTGTCATTACTTACTCATGTTATCCCACTCATGTATGCAATTGGTGTTACTCTTAATCCTCTACTGTTAATCCTTCACCTGCTATATATATTCTGTAGTATGTTCCTCATTCAGTCATTCAGTCAGGTTGTATACCGAAACGTCGCTTTGACAGTATTACAGAAGTTGTTATAAATTGTGTCTACTTTGAGATAACATATTTCCCTTACAACTGTTGAGTAGTATATTATGAACTAGTTACTGCGGACCTTATGCATCATAACAGAGAGACAAACATGGGATGCAGACAACAGGGGGATGAAGATTCCAACCAGTAGGTACATATTCAAACACGTAGGTATGTATTCCAACAAGTAGATATATATTCCAACAACTACATATATATTCCAACAAGTAGGTACATATTCCAACACATAGGTATATATTCCATCAAGTAGGTATATATTCCAGCAAGTACGCGTATATTTTAACAAGTAGGTGTATATTTCAACGAATAGGGATATATTTCATCAAGTAGGTGTATATTTCAACAAGAAGGTATATATTCCAACAAGCAGGTATATATTCCAACAAGTAGGTCTATAGTTCAACAACCATGTATATATTCCTGCAAGTAGGTATATATTCCAACAACTAGGTATATATTCCAACAACCAGGTATATATTCCAACAAGTATATATTTAATTTTCAACAACCATGTATATATTCCTACAAGTAGGTATATATTTCAAATGATAGGTACATATTTCAACATGTAGGTATATATTCCAACAAGCAGGTATATATTCCAACAAGTAGGTATATAGTCCAACAACCATGTATATATTTCCACAAGTAGGTATATATTCCAACAAGTAGGTATATAGTTCAACAACAATGTATATATTCCTACAAGTAGGTATATATTTCAAATGATAGGTACATATTTCAACATGTAGGTATATATTCCAACAAGCAGGTATATATTCCAACAAGTAGGTATATAGTCCAACAACCATGTATATATTTCCACAAGTAGGTATATATTCCAACAAGTAGGTATATAGTTCAACAACAATGTATATATTCCTACAAGTAGGTATATATTTCAAATGATAGGTACATATTTCAACATGTAGGTATATATTCCAACAAGCAGGTATATATTCCAACAAGTAGGTATATAGTCCAACAACCATGTATATATTTCCACAAGTAGGTATATATTCCAACAAGTAGGTATATAGTTCAACAACCATGTATATAGTCCTCCAAGTTGGTATATATCCCCACACGTAGGTGTATATTCCAACAAATAGGTATATATTCCAACAAGCAGATATATATTCTAACAAGTAGGTATATAGTTCAACAACCACTTATATATTCCTGCAAGTAGGTATAGATTTCAAATAATAGGTACATATTCCAACAAGCAGGTATATATTCAATCAAGTAGGTATATATTTCAACAAGTAGTTATATATTCCAACAAGTAGGTATATATTCCAACAAGTAGGTATATATTCCAACAAGTAGGTATTTATTCCAACAAGCAGGTATATATTCCAACAAGCAGGTAGGAATAAAACAAACTGGAGTATATGTGATTTGGCAAAGAGTTATTTTCCTCTTATAGTCATTCACCGTAATATAATGTTACATTTGAGTCAATCTAAGTTGAAGAACAGCCTACTGGATGCGCGACGGAGATGTATAAACATTAATTACGAATTTGAGAGTGATCATACATTGTTCCATAATTCCAATCGATGATTCAGAGTAAAAGTAGTCGGCATCAGACAGATTTCAGTAACTGATGAATGAAGGTAAACTACCCGGGAAATGAGACAACACTTAAGACTGGATTTGCCCCAAAATTACAAACGTTTTCAATACGTTACTTGGCTGAAAAAAGTTGTCGAAACACTTTAGGTCCGAAACGTTACTATGTTACCCGTATCAAACACATCCCCATCGACTATATATCCATTTCTTGTTTGTTTTACTTAAGTCACACAAACGTGGGTGTATACTTACTTTTGCCCTGCAGTTTAGTTTATTTAGTAGAGATACGGATTAATTGAAGTCCGGTTTAGACAGATTCCACTGAACTAATTTCAGCAGATAGACACCTAGGTAAAAATAAAATCGGCAATGTTTATAAGAAACTCTTAATGAATTAAGTGGGGAAAGGAGATTCGACATTGAAGTCAAAGTATAAATTTTAAGCATGTTTGTAACGGTAAACATTGTGTATCATACAGATCCTAGAACATATATTTAATAAAACATTCACCTCCATTCTACTATTAATCTTTCTCAGCTGTAGGCTCGGGGTTTCCTTAAATACTCGCACGCAGTGTAGGTTTCCCTGCAGAATGTACTTTAGTGAGCCTTATATAGAACTTTTATAAGATACAGTTAACAACTTACCTTCTCCATTGTCAAGAGTTGTACACAGTGTGGTGCTGCTGCAAGTGACGGAAAGGTTTTATATGGTTGATGTGTAACATGTGTAGCCTGTGAAATAGCTTGGCGTAGTAGTTTTCCGTATATGGTCAATGGAAAAAAAACGACGATTCTTGACGCCTTCTAAACTTCGTACTTCTGTCCAAGTAAGGTCGTTATTTGACATGGGCATTGATGCAAATGGACGATTTTATCAAGCTCCTCCCTTTTCAGCGTAAACCAGCGTATACCGGTATTGCTCGTTCTCGGCTTTAATTGATCAGGTCTTGCCTGTTATGTTACAGGACGGAGTTTACAATACCTTACTCAACGTTTCCGTTCTGTGCATTCCCTATTCCGTGAATTATTTACAGCACATATTTGATGTAACGTCGCAACTGCTGGGAGCTGTTACGCGCATTAAAAAACGTAAACAGGATCGACAGTTTGAGCACAAGGGATTTGCTGCCATGCCGGTTGATACTTTGTAAGGTGATTTAATGGGATCATGTAGAACTTCTAAAGATTGATAAAACAAAATATATAAAATAAAAAAAAACAACATTTATCATGCAAAATAGCAACGAAAACATTTAGGTCTTTAGTTCTTTCGTATGACAGTGTCACCATCCTTGGTAATAATCACCACATATGTTAGTTTTATCAATGTCAGTATCCGAACTTTAAGCCTACAAAATCAATGTGTGTTTTCACAAATGGTAATGGCAGATGCGCAAAAGATTTACATACAGCTATATTTGTTGGAACGGTTCGCCTTAACGGAGACAGATAATAACGTTCACGAGTTCTGAAGATATATGCTCAGAACCAGTAATGTTTGTCCTAGTATCATACCATTTTACTGAACGTCCGCCCCGCCCTTATAGAAATGAAATTGTCCCCGATGAAGCAAGTCTGGATTGTTCAAAAGTCTGAATCTCCCATCTCACTGGGGTCTTTTCCAATTTAAATACAATCGTTTGTTTCTATCACCAATGTATTTCAGTAACTAAGTGTTAATCTAGATCACAACCTAGGTAGCACGCAAATATTGATCTGATTGTGGCATTTTAAAGAGTGTATAGATACAAGTCCGGAGTTCTGTCAGAAGCTGTTCATAAGATTAACAGCATATGTAATATATTTTCAATAGTCAGGAACATGCTTCATTTCAGCCTCAATTGACTTTGTGGATGTGTTAAAACCATACACATCTGCAAACTTTAACTGTTTGTCCCTGGTTTAAGATAACTAAACTTTACATAAAGCAGTACAAGCACCATGGCACAAAATTTAACTTTTTTTATTTTAATTCAACTAATGTGTGGCGTTATCAAAAGATGTGGCCTATGGGCAAAAGGTTTGGCCCATGGGCTAGAACATTTTCCTTTGCTGAAAACTCATGTTTTTCTTTTGCAAATACATAAAGGTGTGTCTACAAGCATCATGGCATGAATAAGCCAAGCTTCAAGTTGACGCCAGATTTGCTGAACCATATTACAGGACCAAAAAAGATGGATTGGGGTCTCGATATCAACTGAACAAAAACTGCAATTTCGACTTTCAACATAACCTAATTTACACAAGAAAACATTAGTCGGAAGTATATGATGGAGTATTTTGTATTGGAGCCATTGCAGTTTAGTGTCTCTCGTACATCGAAAAGGCATTCTATTGTATTGGGACCAGTTATCAATTGAGTCATCCGTTATTATATTATTTTCCCATTTCGTAAAGTGTACATTTTTTGTAGTGACTTCTGAAATTAGTAAGTTGTAGAAGCATTTCGATCCATTTACAAATTTAAGTACATTTTCGATACATGGGGGTATAATTGGATTTTGCAACTTGTTCAATTCTTCTAGTTCAACATTACTTGCCTTAAAATAGTGTTTTATGGCCACGATAAGGGCGTTATATAGTAGGAAGTTCGTTTTTATCTCGAAAGATTTTGAAAAGTTGTCAAACGACAAGAAATTTCCATCTTTGTCAAGGAGGTCATTTATGAAACGTACCCCCTTTTGATTCCAGGTGCTATAAAAAACGGGCTTACGCCCAATACATATATTACTGTTAAACCAAATATTATCGGCCAGTAAATGATTTGCGTTGTGTTCCAGTTGAGCGTTTAAGTCCCACCAGGCAGTCAAAATATCTTTGTAGTAATTGTTAGGGGTAGTTGGTAGTAGTTTATTTCTTAAGTAGTTACAGTTATGTTCTAATATATTGCCTGCACCTACCGGTAACTTGGGAAGATTAAGATTAAATAGATAACTCCACTTGGATTTCGAAGTAAGAAAGAAGAGTCTTATCATTGATATTGTTTTAGCCTGGATTGTTGCTTTAATGTTAGGGAAATTGAACCCTCCATCCTTTTTTTCACAAATGATTTTGTTTCTCTTAATTTTGTCAGGCTTATTCTTCCAGATAAACTTAAAACAATTTCTTTGAAATGCATTAACAACATCAGTGTTTGGATTTGGTAGTGAACTGAGTAAGTGCTGTAGCTTAGGAATAATTAACGATTTTAAAATCGTGTTTCTGCCAAGGGGAGTAAGGTTGCGGGCTGACCAAATAGACATTAGCTGTTCACATATTCTAATCTTTTCTGTAGAATTAGTTACTATCAAATCATCAAGATCCTGGGTAAATGTAATTCCTAGAAGGTCAAAGTCACTTTGGTCCCAATTGAGATTAAGTTGGGGGCATAATTTCATTCTTGAGCGTTTTTTGGATCCAATCCATATGAGACGCGTTTTTTCAATGTTAACTTTTAGACCTGAAAATCTGGCAAAGACGTTTTATACATTAAACACAGCAAAGAGACATTGTTTGGAACCGTCTAAAATACATGTTGTATCGTCTGCAAACTGATTGATTAGAAATTCTACATTGTCTATATTTACCCCTTTGATATTTTTGTTGTTTTTTATCATTATGGCAAGAATCTCTGCACAGAGAATAAATATGTATGGAGAGAGTGGATCGCCCTGACGACATCCCCTTTGTATATCAAACATAGGCGAACCATAACCATTTACAAGTACACTGGATTCTATCCCGTTATATAATGTCATGAACCACGAACGTATTGATCGTCCAAAATTGAAGAAGGCTAGTGTCTTATCTATGAAGGACCAGTCAACTGTATCAAATGCCTATTCAAAGTCGATTAGTAGAAGTAGTCCAGGAATTTGGTGTGATTCTGTGTATTCCATAAGGTCATAAAGTAACCTCGTTATCTCGCCAATATACCTACCAGACATAAGGCCTTTTTGGTCGTCGCTAATTAATATATTGAGCACAGATTTTATTCTTTTGGAGATAGCAAGTGAAGCTATTTTTTAAAAAACTGATAAAAGTGAGATAGGTCTCCAGTTTTTTAAAAACATTCTTGGTTTGTTACCTTTTGGAATGCAAGTAATAAGTCCCCTTTTTAGAGTTATGGACAATTCACCTTTATCATATGATTGATTTAAAGATCGGATTAAAAATTTGTTGATATCTGACCAAAATTTTTTAAGAAATTCAGCAGTTAAACCATCGGAACCGGGGCTTCTATCATTTTTCAAACATTTCAGTGCTGCAAGTAGTTCTCCATAGTCAAGTTTGCCTTCTAGTGATGATGATAAATTTCTATCCAGCTTGGGCACATTACAATCCTTCAATAAATTTTCAAGATCAACATTACTAACATCATTTTTCTTATGATAGAGTTTGGAATAGAATTTTCTAATTTCTTCTTGAATTTCCTGTTGATTTGTTAAAACATCTCCATACTCGTTTTGCAGACAAGAGAAAGATTTATTTATGAAATTTTAGACTCTAACGATAAGAAATATTTGGTTGGTTTTTCCCTTTTCGACTGCGTTTACTTTTGCCCTTAACATAAGCCCTTGCGTTTTGATCTTATTAATATATTCTAGTTTTTCATTTATCGTATCAATTTCCTTTAGTATCTTAGATTTGGCTTCAATGTCGTTAGTCGCATCCATGTCCTCAGTTAACTGATTAATCTTAGATAAGAGTTCAGTTTCATCTCTTTCTCGTTGGCGCTTTTTATAAGATGAATATGTAATAGTCTCGCCCCTTATCTGCAAGATTAGAATTTCGAAAAATATCTGGTCGTCTATGGTAAACTCACTGTCAGTAGAGTCATAATTCTTGTATTGTAAAATTGTTTCCGATATTGTTTTTTTGACAATAGCTACATAGTCTTTGTCCCTGAGAAGCGAGTTATTAAATTTCCAGAATCCTGCCCCCCTGTCTATTTCAGTAAGGGTAAATGATATTGATACTGGAGAATGGTTCGACATAAAGCTTGGCTCTGTCTGAGTAGCTGTAATAGACTGGAGCATATTATGGGACACAAGAAAGTAATCAAGTCTAGCTTGCTTCAATGGAGATGGTTGGCGCCAGGTGTATCTTTTTTCATTCGGGTATCTCTCTCGCCAAGGGTCAACTAGGTCCAGTTCATCTTTTAATTTCATTATTCTATCTCTCGCCTTTGGATTATTATTGTGTTTATAATTGAAGGTGTCAAAGTAATAATCTTGAACTACATTCCAATCTCCACAAACAATTATATGATCCCTTTTTAGTGATTTTATCGCTGTTTCAAGATCGTTGTAGAAGATAGGGTCGTCAACATTCGGACCATAAAGGTTAATGATAGCTAACTTATATTTATCGATTGTGATTTCGATGATTAAACTATTACCATCATTATCTTTTACAACATTATCAAGAGCAAAGTCTATAGTTTTAGCAAATAGGATAGCAACACCTCTTGAATTACTACTATAGGAACTGTAGAAGCAGTGTTTACAGCCCCAGTCTTCCGTTACTAACTTTTCCATATCTTCAGTAAAATGAACATCCTGTAAGCAGTATATAGATGAGCGCTTCTTTTTCAAGAATCTAAACATTTCCCTCCTTGTTTTCCTACTATTCAAACCTCTACAATTTAGAGATGTTATCTTTATCTTACTCATGTTTTAAGATAATATGCTAGGAAGGTGCTCACAATGAATGAATGAGAATATCCCGTAGGCACAGTATGGTTAGGGAACATGGATGGATATGAGCAAGAGCGGGAGTTGAGTGT